CTGGCCGTGCAAAGAGCCTGGAATTCGAACTAATTGGAACGCAGCGTTTTGACTCACACGGGCAACTGGGTAAGCCACACGGCCGTGCCACCCTGTCCGTGTGAGTCGGGATTTTCTCCTTTTAAGCAGATTTTCAGCCACAAGTCAAGGGGATTCGAGTTTTTGAGAGAGAGAACGATTCCTAGAGAGAGAAAGCGACGAACAAGAGTCTCCAAGTGCCCTAGATTGATCTTCAACACCATTGGAGGCCAGCTTGAGCTTGGAGGAGTGCCAATCAACGTCCAGAAGCAGGAATCCATCCTTCGCAGTATGAATTCCGTGTCTGATTTTGCTTTTGCTTTCTTCTCCATGGAGTAGTTCTCCCATTCATCTGGGTATGGAGAACCCTAGATTTGTATGTTAGGCTTTGATTGTATGAACCCAAGTAATGATTCTATGATTTGATTATATTCGATTGAGGTTTGAATGATTGAATGACTTGAATCCTGATCAAATTCCTGTTGTTTCTGCTTTAACCTAGAATGAGAATATCTGACTAGGTTAATAGAGTATCCTTGATTGAAGGTAGGGAGTTGGTGACTTTAGTCGAGGAACCAACTCACTATTCTGTACCGGATTTACTCCGGTAGTGGAGGTTTTGTTCTTAGGGCCTCAATCTGTTTACTCCGGTGGAGGTTAGTCGCCCGCTAGAGACTCAGATTGAGAGGGACTGAAGACCTTTAGTCGAGACTTCCGGCTGTTTAAGAACCTTCCGCAGTATAACTATCATAGAAACTGAACTTGGTAATTACAATCCGGCTTAACTGCAGTCTAGGGGGAACCATATCCGGGTGACCTCTCTTAACCTGAATACAACCGTTTACTTGCTTTGTTAGTTTGATAGTTTAGACTTGCATTCCAGTTTCATTCCTAGATAACACGAATTCACTGAGTAGTCATCATATCTAGGACCCGGGTTGATAATTAAACCCAAACCCGCTATACTACGCTTTAGGAAGTGGTTTCACTTGGCCAATTCCTGGAGTGACAGTAGAGTCGAGTCAAGTTTTTGGCGCCGTTGCCGGGGACGGCTAGGTTGTTGAAGAAAAGTGATTTCTGTTAATTTAGCCTTTCTTTCTGCTTTGTTTGCTTTGTCTCACTTGTGCCTTCACGGGTTTGCTTGCTTGAGTGTGTGCAGGTAGTGCATGACCCGTAGCCAGTCGGGAGGTTTACGGCCGTTGAATCCAGAGATTGACCGCACCTGTCGCCAGCTCAGGAGACAACAGCGAGTTAGACTGGCTACGGAAGAGCGCATAGACGGCCACGTGAGCAGTGATTTTGAAGAAGAACACGGGATGGACGGAGAGTACAATCAACACCAGGGGAATCCTCAGCAGGCTCCCCCGGTGAATCAGGTCCTGGGGAACAACCCCATACCCCAGGATCATGGAGTCCATCATCCACCGCAGCCGGGTCCCACCTTGGAGTACTACTACACTCCACGGATTGCTGAGATCCGCCCGGTCATCCTCTACCCGCCTATCCCAGCAAACAACTTCGAGATCAAGCCATGCTGGATTCAGCTCATCACATCCTCGATCCAGTTTCATGGCTTGAAGGATGAGGAGGCCAGGGTACATCTGTCCCGTTTTCTGCAGCTGACAAACGGGTTCAAGCTTAACGGTGTTCCCGATGATGCGATCCGCCTTCATCTCTTCCCCCATTCTCTGGCGGGGAATGCTAAGAGGTGGTTGGAGACCCAGCTCCCATTGTCCATCACCTCTTGGGACGATCTGGCTGACAAGTTCGTGCACAGGTATTATCCAGCATCGAAGACTACAGAGATCCAGCGGGAGATCACTCACTTCCGCCAAGAGCCAGATGAGTCACTTCGTGACGCTTGGGAGCGGTACATGGGATACTTCTGGCAGTGTCCCCATCATGGCTTTAGTGATGCTTTCACTGTGGGGAACTTTTACAGTGCCCTCTCTCCAGATAGCCAGAGGGTGATTGAGTCTTTATGCCCAGGAGGGGATGTTCTCACTAAGACTCCACCAGAGCTGAACCAGATGATTAATACATTGGCTGCCAGAGATCATTCCTGGGGGCAGAGTAGCAGGGGCAGACAGTCCCGGGACCGTGGTGTGCACGCCATGGAGACCAGATCCGGGCTCGAGCAGCAGGTAGCTGAGCTAGTGCAGACATTGAAGCAGCCTAACAGTCTGATTCCGGGCAGAGGTTTGGCTACACCTCCAGTTGCTCAGTGTCAGTGGTGTGAGAGCTCCAATCACCTAGTGGAGGACTGCCAAGCTATGAGGGAGTCTACCACACCCCAGGAGCAGTTGACCTTCATCGCCAATGCGAGGCGCCTCGATCCATACAGTAGCACATATAATGAGGTGTGGCGCCAGCATCCCAACTTCGCCTGGAGCAGCAACACCACTAAACCACCTGGTTTCCCAGCACCAGCAGGTGGTTTTCAGCAGAGGCAGCCCTTCCAGGCTCGTCAGGGGCCAGACCCACAGCAGCAGCCCTACCAGCCTAGGCAGGGGCAGCCATTCCAGGAGCCCCAGCGCCAGTTTGCCGAGCCAGCAGCCGCTCCAGCCCTAGATGACAGGATGACGAAGTTGGAAAACATTCTAGCTTCATTTATGACGAGCACTCAGGCGACTATCACGAGGTTGGACCAGAGTGTAGCCTCACTGGAGGCAGGTCAGAGGAACCAGGGTGCCATTTTGCAGGATCTGCAGACCCAGGTGGGCATCTTGGCCCGCCAGACCACCACCAGGGCACCGGGGACTTTGCCTGCCACCACTGTCCCGAATCCTCGAGATCCTCACCAGCATCAGCAGCTGGATGCCATTTTTACCAGGAGCGGTAAGACCATATCTGCTGATCCTGTCCCGGCCAGACAGGAGGAACCACTGACTGCTTCAGCACTTCCAGCCAACGATGCAGAAGTGCGGGTGGAGAAGGAAGCCCCTGCTCCCAAGCCACAACCAGTGGTTAAGGAGCATGTGCCCCAGCTTCCCTTCCCCACTCGCCTACACAAAGACAAGCTGGAGACTGAGTTTGCCAAGTTCATGGCAATGTTGAAGCAGCTCAACATCAGCATACCGTTCGTGGAGGCACTGTCGAAGATGCCCAAGTACGCGAAGTTCATGAAAGATCTCTGCACCAACAAGAAGAAACTTGGGGATCTCTCGACAGTGTTGTTGAGCGAGGAGTGTTCTGCTATCCTGCAGAACAAGCTGCCCGAGAAGCGCAAGGATCCAGGGAGTTTTACTATCCCTCTTACTATTGGCAGCATGCATGTAGGAAAGTCCTTGGCGGACCTAGGAGCTAGCATTAACGTCATGCCATATAAGTTGTATAAAATGCTAGACCTAGGTGAACTTAGCCCTACTAGGATGAGCATTCAATTAGCTGATCGTTCTATTGTGCATCCTAGGGGAATCATAGAGGATCTGCTTGTTGGTGTTGGTGCATTCACATATACTGTTGATTTTGTTATTCTTGATATACATGAGGATGTGGATGTGCCTTTGATTCTAGGTAGGCCATTTCTTGCCACCGCCAAGGCACTTATTGATGTGCATGATGGAAAACTGATCTTGCGTGCTGGGGATGAACAGGCTACTTTTTCTGTGACTGAGTTTGACCACTGTGCTATGATTGCTGTCACGCCTGTGCATGCCATTTCTGATCAGGTACACGAGTCTGTCGTGTATCCTTCTGCACCTCCTATTTTGCAGGACCCTCCTATCATTCCTTCGCCGCCACTCCATCCAGCCTCGCCTCCAAACAAAAAGCTCAAGGAGGAGTGGCGGCCGAAGCAGCAGGTTGCTAAGCCTGCACGGAAGAAGAGTGGAGACCACTATGAGCTGGTCCCACCTCCTGCACCACGACCACCCTGGCCGTCTGGGTACTCACTCGCCTGCATCTTGCCAGATGGGCAGGTCGAGCTGACTAATGATGGTGGTCGCATCCGCCGGGTGCATGGCCACAACCTGAAGCTGTACCTCAAGAGTGACGTGGATCCGCTCTTGGAGGCACCTGTTCCTGCACCGCCCTGAGTATCCACCATGGGCGTCCAGCTAAACGACAGTAAAGAAGCGCTTGTGGGGAGGCAACCCCACCACGGTTTGATTTTCTTTCTTGTGTTTTGAGTCGGATTGTAACCCGGTTTGGGTTTGGTTTGTTTTCTTTTGGTTTGGATGATATTTTATTGGGCTGACCATTGAACCTAACATATTGTGTTTGAGCTTTTCTGTTCCCCTTTGGCTGTGCTTGCCTCGACTGGCCCGTTTCTAGTCCCCTGCAGTCCATGCATACCGGTAACATCGTTCCCCTTATCCTTCCCTCTTCTCCATTGAGGGCAATGTTGAGCTTAAGTGGGGGGGGGGGGGGGGATGTTTATCTTTTGACTGCATTAGATCTGTTTGTGTGCTTGGAGCCTAGTCCACTGTCCAAATTTTTAAATTTGAGGGCTCCAAGTACGTGTTCCTTGCAATTGCCTGCTCAGTATGCTTTGAATTGACAGTCTTTATAGTAATATGCAACCTAGGGAGGTAGTGTAGCACTATGGAGGATGTTGATGCATTTAAGAAGTCTCATTTCTTCTTCATATTGAGTTGGTTGATTGAGTGAATTAGTGATCTTAGGACCCTTGAATCGTGTGGTGTTGTGGATTCTCTGCCTGTCATGGACTCTTGTGTCATGTTTTGAAAATAACAGGTGCTCGAAAATGTGCTTCAAAATAAACGTCTCCCGTGCGAATAGGGCGAAAGTGTGTAAGGGGAGACGGGAATTCGTTCCCAATTTCCACCTACGACCTCCAGCCCCCTTACATGTCTTTCCCCCGCACGAGGCTGGAGACATCCGCTCCTGGCATGGCCGGTAAGAGCAGGTTGGGACCCTTGAAAAGAAAAGAAAAGAAAAATAACAGAAAACAAGCAAAACAGAAAAAAAGGGGTTCCAACCATCTTCAAGAATAAAATAGAGCACCTTGAAAAATGTGAGTCCATGATCTGTTGTTATTGAGAATCTCTTCATCCACGATTCATTTGTCCTCTGTTCACTGTTTGCCATGATGCCGACTCGTCGAAGAAGCTATGAGATGACTTGTGCGTCGGTTGACCTCGTAAGCTGCTAAATGATCTAGGAAGTCCTCTACCTACGATCTGGGTTGTTTGTTGCTATACAGGTCTGGAGAGTTGCATTGGTTTGAGTTAGGTTTGCTTGGGGACAAGCAAACTGTTAAGTGTGGGGGAGTTTGATAGACCGTTAGTTACACATGTTTTCACCCCTATTCTTACACCGTTGGAGATGTGGTTTCTCGTGTTTTAGACCGATTTCACGCTAGGTTGTGCTTGTTTGTGATATTTCAGGTCCTGGCAAGTGAATGAAGGTTTAGGAGCGAGTTCAGGGTCGATTGGGTGAAGATCGGGCACGAGACAAGTCACAAAGAAGGTCACACGGGCTGCCCTGATGTTCACACGGCCGTGTGAAGGAGTGGTTTGGCCGTGTGACAGTCTGCGAGAGCAGACACTGACAGAGCAGAAGATCGACACGGCCGTGCAAGTGGCCGGGTTGACCGTGCCACATTCTGCGAGAGCAAACACGGGCAGGAAGGGAAGTTCACACGGCCGTGCCATTCTGGCCGTGCAAAGAGCCTGGAATTCGAACTAATTGGAACGCAACATTTTGACTCACGCGGGCAACTGGGTAAGCCACACGGCCGTGCCACCCTGGCCGTGGAGTCGGGATTTTCTCCTTTTAAGCAGATTTTCAGCCACAAGTCAAGGGGATTCGAGTTTTTGAGAGAGAGAACGATTCCTAGAGAGAGAAAGCGACGAACAAGAGTCTCCAAGTGCCCTAGATTGATCTTCAACACCATTGGAGGCCAGCTTGAGCTTGGAGGAGTGCCAATCAACGTCCAGAAGCAGGAATCCATCCTTCGCAGTATGAATTCCGTGTCTGATTTTGCTTTTGCTTTCTTCTCCATGGAGTAGTTCTCCCATTCATCTGGGTATGGAGAACCCTAGATTTGTATGTTAGGCTTTGATTGTATGAACCCAAGTAATGATTCTATGATTTGATTATATTCGATTGAGGTTTGAATGATTGAATGACTTGAATCCTGATCAAATTCCTGTTGTTTCTGCTTTAACCTAGAATGAGAATATCTGACTAGGTTAATAGAGTATCCTTGATTGAAGGTAGGGAGTTGGTGACTTTAGTCGAGGAACCAACTCACTATTCTGTACCGGATTTACTCCGGTAGTGGAGGTTTTGTTCTTAGGGCCTCAATCTGTTTACTCCGGTGGAGGTTAGTCGCCCGCTAGAGACTCAGATTGAGAGGGACTGAAGACCTTTAGTCGAGACTTTAGGCTGTTTAAGAACCTTCCGCAGTATAACTATCATAGAAACTGAACTTGGTAATTACAATCCGGCTTAAATGCAGTCTAGGGGGAACCATATCCGGGTGACCTCTCTTAACCTGAATACAACAGTTTACTTGCTTTGTTAGTTTGATAGTTTAGACTTGCATTCCAGTTTCATTGCTAGATAACACGAATTCACTGAGTAGTCATCATATCTAGGACCCGGGTTGATAATTAAACCCAAACCCGCTATACTACGCTTTAGGAAGTGGTTTCACTTGGCCAATTCCTGGAGTGACAGTAGAGTCGAGTCACATCTCAATCCCTCCCCGTGACCATTTTCCTTGATCCCACCGTATTTGATTCCTCTTTTATGTAGATAGGATCAGTTAATTGTTCATCCGATCCCACCATATATATTCCTACCGGCGGAGGACTCAAGTTATATATGAGTTTTTGTGTGTGTGTGTGTGAAGAAATCGGCGGAGCTCCGACGTGGATTTCGACTCCATCGTTTCCAAGATTCGGGTAGGGATTCATCCGTGTGAAAAAGTGTGCCGTCCGGATTGAATAGATAAGAGTATCGTTGACGGGCTGCTAAACTCCCTCATAATGAAGCCACCATAGCTGGTAGAGGTATGACATATGAACAAGGTATTTAGCACCCACGCATATGGAAGATGGGATCTAATGATTGGGAGAAGCGATTATTACCTGAAAATTTCTTGTCGGAGATTGCAATCGTCGCCGGGGTCGACTGCTATATACCACGCACAATAAGGGGTTTAATTTCATAAAAAGTTTAATATGAAAACACGAGTAAATTATTATTGGAGGGGTGCACCATGTAGGCTATGCATCGGGTGCATCGAACAATTTCTCCCTGAATACGACCATAGTAGCCACTTGGGCATAGGCTCACAATTTTCCAATTCACAATTTTCTAGCCACTGTACACAGTGGCGTAGCCAGAAATTTTGTTAAGGTGGGCGACATTGATATATATCTCTGTGAACGGTAAGTGCAAGTGACGATCAACAACCTGACTCAAATGTTAGAGAATGCCTTCACGTCACAAGCGACATTTTCCCAGAAGCAACGACTAGTCTACGGTTGACAGAGTTATTGGATTGAGGTTGTGCCTTGTGGGAATTCCGAAATTGTGATATGTGAGTAAAAGAAAGTAGGTTGGTGATAATTTGGGGTGATGTGGTATTAGGGATTGGGATGGGTAATAAATCACAAGCGAGGTCATATTTCTTGGTTTCATGTAAACTAAACTATTAGATATTGATGAATAAATAAATTAGATGTTAAAAGTTAAAACATAAAATAAATGACTGGTAGCTGAACCTTGTTAACAAATTCCAAGGATTGGAAAACCACACTGTATTAACGGTTCGACAAGAAAAACCTTCTATTATAGGCCAAATTGATATGAGATATTTAGCAGTATAAAACGATTGAACCATGATTAAACCTCAATTTCCACATAAGATATCGTATCACTGACTTTTTCTGTACAACTTCTGGTAGCTGTTAATAAATTCTAATCAACAGTTTGATAACCCTCTTCACACCTTATTACTAATATTTGCATGTGAGTTGCAAACCCAAGGTGGTGCAGCCGACCCACCTTGGGCTGCTGTGGCTCCGCCACTGCTTGGGCAGGGTAAGTTGACCCACTCTTACATAATATTTGAAAAAAATACACGCAACTTTTAACCTTTTTTGTGAAAAAATTAAGAAAAACACACTTTATGAATGAAAATAGTGATAATAGAATGATTAACTGAGTCTTGCTAGTTGAACATCAAGTCTAACTAGTTGAAAAAGGTGAATTGTGAATATATATTGCAATAAATTGAGATAGAATAGACGGGGCGAGGCGGGTCAGGACGGTATGATGTAAATATCCATGCCCCACCGCACACTACTGTGAGTCGAGTAATACCCGCCTCATCACGAGTCAGGTGTGGCAATACCCAACATGACGGGTTCAAATTGTTGTTGTCGCTCTTTATAAAAATATGGGACCAGGCCAAATGCCAACCCACTATTTCCAGCTAGACAGCCACATGGACGCAGGGCCAGCACACAGAACCAAAAGCCCACCTCCCAAGCCCAATTATATTAGGGAAAAGCGGCGGCGCGCCTCCACTATAAATAAACGTACAGTCCCTTCGTCTCGCTAATTCACCAACCATTCCAGCAGCCACCAGTAGTTCCACTGGCCAATGGCCATGGCGATCGGTGAAAGCTACCGGTCGTCTAAGATGCAGCGGCAGCAGCCTATAGCTGAATTTTCCGATGAAACTACGACACCCGCCCATCCCATCAGCAAAAAGGGAGATGATCTCCTCGAAGAAATTCTCATCCGCCTGCCAAACCCTAGATCCGCCTGCCGCTGCAAAACAATATGCAAGCTGTGGAACACCACGATCTCCAAACCTTCCTTCAATCACCGATTCGTTTCTCACCACTAGAGGATGACCGAACGAAAACGAGAACAACCCCTGCTCCTCCCCGACGACAAACCCGTGTCGTCTATCCTGAGTTTCCTCCCCATGCCTGACGAAATTCGATCGAGATTCGTGATTTGGGACCGCTTCAAGGACTTGCTTCTGTGCGGATTTCAGATGTCGTTGGGCGAACCGAGTAGACTGTTCTTGATTTGCAATCCGTTTACGAAGCAATGGGTCGCCCTTCCTTGAGCCTCCGAAAGGCCCTCTGCCACTTATCTGAAGACACGGACGAAATTTGTTTGTGAAGAAGTAATACGAGCACATGAGATGCTTTTTTTGAACAGAATGCAAAACCCAATTTCAACCTAAGAATGGATCTAAATTTTGAATCAAAACTTAAAACGAAAGCGGGCCAAAGGTGCAATCTTTCATGTGGACGAAGGCTCGATTGGTTTGAAGCGAAGCTCGGCCACGATTGATGCGTTTTCAATCGATACGAAGAAACTCGTTGCTGGAACTCAACCAACACTCAAACTCCATAGCTCCTTTGGAGCCCTCGTTCATGGCCTTCCAAGGGTCAACGATCCAAACTGGCTTCAGTCGTTTATTCATGTGACCTCGTAGTTCAAATCCCAACTCCTAGTTTCCATTAACAATGATCCAGCTGTATGGATTAAGCCTCCAAAGATGACAGCTCAAGCGGGTTCCAGAATCGGCCACAAAACAGACAGTTTTCCGTTTTTTCATAGCAACTTGAGGCTTCTTGATCGAGCACCTAGGAACCTTAATTTGTGCACCCAACCTCATGACGTTGAAGATAAACACTTCCCTTTTACTCTTCCACCTTCCTTGTGCATTTCCATGGTTTAGAACGTAAGATACGAACCCGTAAAGTACGAACCATGAAATGATCCTAACACTTGGCCAAATTCTTCCGTTTTCTTTCCCAACGTTGATTGATCTTTTGGCGAGTAATTGAGTCGCAGTTAGGGAATATTTTAGGATCATATCAGGCCCCCCTTCTTTAAAAAGCTTTGCCCTCAAAGCTGGTCTAGTTTTGCATCCAGAATTACCAACAAAGGACGTCCTAAAAGGGTCATAAAAAGAGAACCCCGTGGCCGGAAAACTCAACTCTGGCGACTCCCTGCCGTCGGCAATTCGTCGAGGCGCCTCATTTCGCAGCCTCTGAATGTGTCGATCGGATGCAGTGGCCATCCAGGACCTTCCTTCACGGGACCGCATCATTGGAACCCTCCCGATCGCACTTAATTCGCCGTTTGCAATTTTCTCGCCGTCGGAAAATTCAAACTTCCCAGAATCTGGCGATGCAATCACAGAATTCGGCGACCCCAATGCGAAATTGGGAAAATCAACTCAAGCCCCTTCGAGTCGATATCTTTGCTTTTACGCCATCCTTGGGACTCTAGAAATCGTACCTAGGTGGTCAATTGCGCGGACTCAACACCATTCTCCACAACTGAATCGAGCTTATCTTGGTCGACGCTCTGCACGTTTTGACTCAACTCCGCCGAATTGGGCGTTTCAATTTCAGAGTCGATTTTCCCAATTCACTTGATTTCACACGTTCTTGGGGTAGAATCAAACATGTCGACACAGGTGACTTGTTCCGACTCGCTCCCCAGTCCTCCACCCAATTCACTCTCTCTCCTCCCCTACCACGTCGAGAACAGAAAACAGGGCTAGTCTGTCCTAATTGGGCGAGACGTTGTGGCCTTCCGCAAAGAAGTCAACACGAATCCCATACGTGCTAGTCCTGTCCTACGCCGTGCTCCTCCAGTTTCTCCTCCCTCTCGAGCTCGCATTGATGCCATCTGTTGTTGATTGGAGCGAACCTCTGACTGGGACAATGGCTTGAGCAACACGCGCTTACTATTGTGCTGGAAACGGTAGCAATTGGAGCCACCGTCATGGGTGACAGCGCAATCGTACTGCCAAACACTCCCAAGCAGTAGATGTGCTGCCTGCATTGGCACAACATCACACACAAGCTCGTCTTTGTACGAGCCAATCTCGAAATTAACTCGCGCTCGCCTTGTAACCTTGATGGCGCCATAGTCATTGAGCCAATGAAGGCTGTATTGCTCGGGATGCTTGAGGGTTTCCAATCCCAATTTCTAGACAACATCGAGGCTGATAACGTTTATGCAGCTGCCCTCGTCGACGACTACCGATAGACATTGGCTTCCGACTAGGAACCTCGTGTGGAACAGATTAGTCCGTTGGTCGTTGCTGGTCTCTCTATCCATCGTCAAGGCCCTCAAATTCATTCCCCACAAAAAAGGTCCTGGCTCGACCTCGATCTCTTTGTCTACTTCCTCTTCCGAGGAATCTTTCTGCACGACTGGGCTGCTCGTTTCGTCATCTGAGATGTACCCTGTATCACGCAATATCAATGTCTTGAGGTTGGTGCATTGATTCGCCTTGTGGCCTCGACTATGGCACTTGAAGCACTGAATCGCGCCACTGGAAATGCCTGCGTGTTCTGTGTTCGTTGTAGAAGCATTCTGCGGTGCAGGTTTGGGCATATCCTGTTTGTGGGAGTGAGTGGAAACCTCTGCTGTACTTTCAATGGAAGGTTTATGACCCAAAAATCTTCTACCTGAAGCCGCCCTCTGCTGCTTCTCGATTTTGACAGCTAGGTGCACCGCTTCCTCTAAATCCACAAACGCCCTTAGCTCCATCTCCTGACAAATTTCACGACTTAATCCGTGGAGGAAACGAGCGCTCGTAGCCTCCCTATCCTCCCTAACGTCAGCGGACCAAAGGTGCAATCTTTCACGTGGAAGAAGGCTCGATTGGTTTGAAGCAAAGCTCGGCCACGATTGCGTTTTCAATCGATACGAAGCAACTCGTTGTTGGAACTCAACCAACACACAAGCTTTTTGGGAGACAAGTCTCGATTTTTATTCATAAAACTCATGCCCTTACACGAGGCTTCGAGGCCCCTTTAAATATACTTCTACAACATATTCCTACTGCCAAACGAACAAGGAAATCATACTCTATTTCTAACATAACAAGGAAACATAATTCCATCTCAAAAAGGAAACAAATTCTAATTACTTCTTGATAGAAACCCGCGATTTCTATTATGATATTATTATTATAGTTATTATTAAGGTAGTTACCAGTAGGCCTAGTAGTCTAGCCGTTTAGTCAAATTAGGTTAATCGTTAGGGTTTTCCCAGTGTTTCATTATAAATATGTATTTTGGGTTTTATTCAGAAGCAGTCAAGAAGAATAATAAGAAAACTCTCCAAAACCCTATTCTCCCAATCCTCTCAATTCTCGTTCCCAATCCCTCTAAAGGCCTAGGCCGATTCTCTATCTTTCTCTTCTCAAATCCCTAATTCTGTTCTTAATCCCTAAATCCCCAATTCTCGATAGAACCCTAATCTCAGGTTCTATCATTTGGTATCAGAGCCATGGTCACGAATCTGAATTCATCACAACTCGTAACCGGGGACATGATCTACCAAATGCAAGTCTGCTGTGAGCAGGCAAAAAGATTTGGAGAAAAGCATACAAGATGCTGAGAAGAGAGACGAGGAGTGGCGATTGTTGATGGAGAAATTGAAATGAACCCTAACCTCTTCTCGGCGAGTCAAGCCACCAACCACCACTGCTGCGAGCTCACCCCCACCACCCGCTACGAAAATCCCCGGCGTAATTGTTTTCGCTGCCGCCGTCGAAGAAGATCATGAGGCCATGGCCATGCCGCCAACCACTGCCGTTCCAACGCCTCTAATCACAGCTGTCATCGAGAAGGAGAATGATTCACCTCCACATCCTGCAGCTGAAGTTGTCACCATACCACCACCCGCCATCAAAGAAGAAGAAGCTCTGGCCGTCAAGATTGTTGGCAACCAACAACATCTCCGGGTGGTCATGGAGACAAGAGACGTGAAGAGAATGGAAGTCAGGGGGTCCTGCCAAGACCAGGGGAAACTTGTTTCACCGCTAGCAGCTGCTAGAGACGAGGCGACAACCAAAGTTGTTCTCGCCAAGCCGGTCATTGCACTCACAATTGGCACCAACTCTCGTGAAGGCCACTTGGAGCACGGCCTGCTGGTCAGATCCACTCCACGAACGGCCGCAGGACATAGCTCGTTGCCACTGAACCTTCCTATCAACGGGTGGAAGTTCCGTAGGAAGAAAGCGGGAGTCGACGAAGAAGAACAGGCGACCGCAGGGGTTTTCATCATCACTTCCTCGCCCGCATCGTCGCTTATTACGTCACCCGTCGCCGACCTAGAGGTGGCAACTGCCGTTGAGCCTCCAGTCAATGTCGTCGACGAGAAACGCGTCGGCAAAGCTACTGAGACCAGGAAAGCATCACTGACCTCGCCGACTGCCGATATTCAGACCATCGGGAACCCGGGAATCCCTTCGAAGCTGGCGGAGATCCACGTCGGGACTGATCCACGCAAAGCCAGAGAAACGGGTTGGCCTCCTCGTCTTCAGCTAGCATGCTCACCGCCGCGGAAGAAGCATCTGGCGTCGCAAATCGTGCAAGAGGCGAGAAGCTGGGAGGCGTTGTCGGTTCCGCCGTCGAATGAGATGAAGGAGAAGGGCGGCAGCATCTCCCCTTCTCTCGTTGTTCGAGCATCCGACGAGGCAATTTGGTCACAGGTCGCAAAGGGAGAGAAGCGCCACCGTCGCCAAAAGTTCCATTCGCGGTTACAAAGGCCAAAGAGGCGGAACCAGGGGCTGGTCCATTAACCAGCGATGAGGTGACGTCGGGAAGGGAGGGAGTCGGCTCAAATCGTAGGTGTCGGCTGGAATGTTTGACGACGAGGAATGAGACAAAGAAGTCAGCCGGTGAGGAGGCGACGATTGCGAAGATGATGCCAGAAGCAAGTAGTCCTTTTTGCCGGAGGATCTGTTCACCGGCGAGGAAGTCGACAAACGAGCAGGGGGCTGAGTGCGGCGGGGTTGAATTGGCGGCCACAAACCCTAATTTTCTAACTTGGGGGTGCGCAGTACCGCAACAACGAGTCGGACGGGTCGCCCTCGAGTTCTTGGGCCGCACTGTTCGGATCGCCTTTTTGTGTTCTTCGAATTGCCAGGATTCGAGAGCGAGCACATAGATGTGCAGGTAATTGGATCCGATGTGCTAGCAATAATGGGACAACGGCCATTGGCGGATGGTCACAGATGGATCAGATTCAAAAAGCAAATCAGATTCCGAGCAGACCACAACATCAGGCGATATCGAGCTGGTTTTGGGAAATTCGATTTCATCATTCGAATCCCCAAAATCGCTGCACCTCCCGTCCACAAAGAGAAGTATGCAACCAACACACCACCATCGACCGAGAAAGAAGATGTTGTGGACGACGGCGCAGCAAAGAAGCAACTGCCAACAACAGACCAAGATGGGGAGTTCCCTTTCGTGGCTGCAATCAAACCACCACCAGTACCCGCAGGTGAAGTCACCATCACTGAACAACCAGACAGCATCGCCTCTGGATTCCGCAACCTCACAGCAAGCTCGCGACACCCCATCACGGTCGAGACGCGAGACATCGGAAGTCTCGAGATCAGCTCGAAATTGGCAGAGCTCCGTCTCAGAGAAGGAATACCGGGATTACTCGCCGGAGCCACAGGTCGTACCAGCAACGGCGGGATCACCGGCCGCGCCAATCGCGGTCGAGATCAGGTGGTCGGCACCGAGGTCACCTTCCACTAACCGCCTGATGTGGGAACCATCGCCAAGGAGAGAGACGAAGAAGATTCCGCCGGAGACGATTTCTCGCGGCCGGGGGCGTTGTTCGTGGAAGGAGAAGAAGAAGGCGAAGGGAGGAGGCGGTGAGTTTCCTCCCTTGTCGCCGGAGAGAGAGAAGCTGAAGGGAGGCCGTGTCATCGCTCTCCTCTCTAGACCTAGGTCGTCGTCGAAGGAGAAATCAAGAGAAGATGCGCCGTGGTCGCCGACAGATGCAGTCGCGACGACGGAAACCAGTCTAGCTGTGGCCTCGCTGTCGGAGGTGGAGGAGACAAAAGCTCCGCAAGAGACGCGTTTGTGTAAACGAGAGCCGATCGTGGCGACGGCGAGCTCGGGGGTGACGGAGGTCGAGGTAAAGAAGCCGTCATCGTGGGTGGAATCGAAGGAGAAGAAGGGAGCGCGTTCGATGACGGCTGGCGGAGCGGAAACGAATCTCCGAGTGACTCGTTGCCGCCGTTCGGCCTGCTTGCCGGCGAAGTTTGACGCGTCGACGGCGGGCACGGCGAGGAAAAAGAAGACGAAAGATGAGGCTGGTGGCAGCTGGGTTTCTCCTCTCGAAAACCCTAGGTCACCCTCCAGCCGCGCACAGCAGCCAACCGAGTCGTTGTGCCGAAAAACCTGGGCTGGGTGGCCCAAGACACAGGGTGAGACAGGCCGAACAAACCTGGAGCAAGGGCGAACAATCGATGCGCTCAGGTCAGATCTGTTGGTTCACTCGATCGGGCCACGTCATGGGAATAATCGGATTGAGCCAAAGCTAAGTCTTGGGCTGAACAGCAAGGGAACCCACTGGGTTCAAAAGAAGACTGGGTTGAGCTGTCAGAGCGGGCCTGGGCCTCCAACAGGCTTTGTTTTAAAGTGGGTGAGTTTGGAGAAAAAGAAAGGTGGGTTCATAGGATGGTCAGATGGGCTTTCAATGAAAACTAACCCAAAAGCATGTGGAGAGACAATGAAACAATTCAATGGGCTAAATCCAAGGAACCCTGGGGCAGTTGAGTGGGCTGGCTCGTGTCAGACCAAGGGGATCGATTGAGTGGGCCAGGAGGAGGAAAAGGAATGATGGGGATGGAGATAAGCTATTGGCCGAAAATTAAGAGGAAGTGGGCAGAGGATGAGATTGCTTGTGGGTGTAGTCTGCAGGAGAGGGTTAAGCCCAACGTGGGCTGGGTTATGAAGGCAATGGGCTCAATGGTTTGGAAGGACCATTTATTAGGCTTGGAAGATGGGTTTTCGAGAGAGCATGATCCAATTGGGTTTGGAGAACCATTAGAGCAAATTTATGGGCTAGCTCCAAGAAAGATGTTCACAGGCCTTGATAAATTAGTACTTAAGGATGTGTTCTTGAGCCAGAGCGAGTCGTTGGATTCATGGAGTTGCTGGAGGGCGATGATCGCGAAAGAAGAATTATTGAAGTTTGAATACTTGGAGAATGAGAGGATGATGCCACCGGAAATGCAAATCACGGTCGTGGATCATGCAAATCAGGAGGATGAAGAAAGAAGGCCTAGTCGGGGTGTGGAGCACGATTGGAAGAAACGGAAGCGCAAGAACTGGATTGGTCAGCTTGCAGATTGCTCGGGAAGGAAGAAAAAGAGGGTCAAAACGATCAACCTTGAGGACAAGGTTGGTTTGAAGGGGGAGGAGATGTTAGAAACCGATTTCTTTAGGTCTTCTATATTTATGGTTATAATTATTATTAGGATATTTCTTATTATGGTTAGTAGTCTTCTAGTAGAATTAGGTTTATTCTTAGGGTTTTCTAGTATTTCCCTATATCTGTACCTTGGATCATTCGTCAGATTAAGCAGAAATTAATAGAAAAGTCCTCCTTCCCCAAAACCCTAATCTCTTTCTCTCTCAAATCTCGTCTATCCTTCTCTCTAGAGGCTTCAGCCGTTCTTTCTGTTCTTCCCCAATTCTGTTCCTAATCCCAATTCTCCTTCCAAATCCCTAATTCTATCTTCTCGATCCCTAAATTCCCAAAGATCACCCAATACGAATCCCGTTAGAAACTTTGTTTCTAACACCAACGTTGATTGATCTTTTGGCGAGTAATTGAGTCGCAGTTAGGGCATATTTTAGGATCATATCAAGAAGACCATTGCAGAAACCTGGATCTTGGCGACGACGAAGCGTACAAGTATTCCGAGTATCGATTCTGCGTTCTGCTTACCTATGAGAAGTTGGAGACAACGGAGAAGTACCCAGAACAGCACGTGTTCTGGTCAAAGTACCGGAAATGGAGCAGCTATGATCGTACATTTGATCGTGATGCAGTATCGTGTAACGGCAGGTTGTACTGGATGGAGAGTAGGATGTACTATATGCAGGGTGGAGGAATTGAAGAGTATGATCCTTTCCGCCTCCTGAATGGTACACTTCCAGCTTATAACAATGGAAGTGAATTCCTTTGGAGAGCACATCTCTTATCTCATGTTTCGACATCACAGGATGCTCTGCACGTGATTCGACTCGAACGCTATCCCAGTTTCTCCGAGGTCTTTAGAGTTTAGAGGTGGGAAGGAGATAGTAGAACATGGACTATGCGTTATGAAGTATCGCTGGCGACTCTAAAAGAGAATAACAGTTCTGAATTCGCTGGATTGCAGATTTCTCTCGTGCTTGGTCAACATCCACAGAAGCCGGAAGTTTTCTTCTTAAGATGCTGTCCTCTTCTCGGGGGGAAAAGGTCTGATCATTTCGTGCAATTTTAAGACGGAGAAGCTACAGTACGTTGCTGATCATGTGCGGTATTATGTCTTTGATCGTCGGATGATATTTCAACCAAGGACCTGGATGATATTTCAGCCAAGGAGCACTTGCTTCTTTACACCAATTCCTAGCTATGAAAAATTGCTAGGTAGTTAGCATGGAACATAATGTTGTTTTGTTCCAGCATAGGAAATCAAATTAGTTGACTTTGTTTAAGACTCATTAGGTCTCAAGCACTCACAAGTCACAGGTTTGGAGAGATTTTTTTTTTTTTTTGGGTTTGGTTTCTACATTCCTTGGAACACGGCAATATGAATAATCTGGATATGGGTGATGGCCGAGTGTTTATGTATTCCGAATATCATTTCCACGTTCTGTGTTGGTATGTAACACCTCTATGGATGTCATACGTTTGAAAACTACTCGTGTTTTGTTCGAAATCCGAAAGTGGAGGAAATTGATAGATGAACACTCATTGATGTATAATGTTTGCAGCCATTGTTGCTCTACTTACTTTCCACTTGCCAATGACCTAAGCCAGAAGCTAACATACCCCAATGGATCAGCCATTCAATGTATCGAACAAAGAAACGGCCCATAATACAAGCAAATGAACAAGTTGGAGTCAGGACAGGATGTCAAAAACCAGTATGCTAACGAGGAAGCCAAGGATGGCACCACCTACAACTTCAATTTCAGTGTGGCCGATGGATTCTTTCAGAGGAGGATTGTAGATAGTGCTGATCTCCTTAGTAGTAGTACTGCTATCATTGGATAGTAGAGCTTGAGTAGTAGCTGTTGTCTGTAATTGATTGCTCCTGGCAGTACTAGTGCTAGATGTCACCACCTGCTTCTGCTTCTGCTGCCATTCGTCGTCATCGGGCTCACTATTCAAGTCAGGCGGCAGCAGCAGTACTCTGTTTATCACTTTTGCATGGCTACCTACTTCTCTTCTCACACCCTGGAGACAAACACACACACACGATGACCAAGGAATCCAACCACATTGCATGTAGTAACACATCCATTGCTGTTGGCTTAAGGTCCATGGACTGAAGTTCAGAGGCGCTGTTCAATACCCAAAAGACAACACTATAGACGAAAAGGAAAGGTTGGGTTGAGGGAATTGACTTGCCTGTGCATCATACATGACGAGGCCAGCATAAACCACAGTGAGCCCGAAAATCGAATCGGAGAAGCCCCTAAGAAACAGAACGAAAAACAAAAGCAATTAATCACTGGATGATGATGGTGGTGAAGCCTACACTGCTGCGGAAACCACAAGCATAAACTATGCTAATCAATCACTGTAACTGTAATTGGCGGGAAAGGAAAGGAAAGGAAAGGAGGGGTCAACCTTTCAAGGGCGAGACAAGTAGCGGCAGCTACAACAGCCTGCGTCCAATTGGGAAGCGAGTTGGTTGGTTCAGGCAATCAGATCGCACAAAATCAAAGTATCCATCAATAAATAGAAGAAAGGGAGAAACTTACAGAGGAATGGGTAGAAGGGAAGCCGCCGGCCTGGAAGGCAGACCTGAAATCAAAGCTGCTACCTTTACGGTAAAGGAGCACGGAAGTGAAGGGTTTGGACAGCTGACCTATCGCTGCCGATACTCCAGCTGCAACCAACACCTTCCAACAAATTCCCCAAACTCAAATTTCATTACTAGGGTTCGCCAACAAGGGCGAAGGAAAGAAATCATTCAGCGATACTGACAACCCAACAATAACAGAAACAGCGGAGAAATAGTACAGAAGAAAAGGAAAGAAAGAAAGAACCTTGTTGTGGGCGAGGGATACAGCAATATCCTCGATTTCAACCAAGTTGAAGCAAATCGAGCTGCATCTGCGGTTTCTGGGTCTGAAACAAAATTGGGGAGGCTTGGGTTTGATGTTGGGATGCTGAAGGAAGAAGCCCAATTGGGAGGGAGAAGAAGAAGAAGTGGAAGGAGAAGCAGAGAAGAAACGGCTGAGGTCGGAGCTGCCAGCTGAGGCAGAGCTCCGGCAACAATCCTGCAGCACCAACATATTCTTTTCCTTTTTACCTATGCTGATTGGTTATAATTACAGCTTTGAGGTGGGTTTAGGAAGAGGGTTCCTCCGCAAATGCGAAATTGGGAGGAGGGGAAGAAGAGGCAGAGGCATATCTAAGCTGGTTTTGAGAGATTGGATGGTAGCATAGAAGGAAGAAAATCCAACTCTCTGTGTCTGTCTGATGTGGTCGATCGACCAGGCCGCATCTAATTCAGTCCACATTCCCCCGGCCTGTGGTTTGTTTGCTTGCCGGCATTCGTTCCGTTTTTGGTATTTTTCTCACAAGTAAGCCATGTCAGCAAACTTCCTACTCTTTTCTTTATATAAAAAGAATAAATATAATTTATAAGCCAATTTGAAGTTTGAACTTTAGCAAAATAAAATATTAATCAAATTGATAAAATAAGAAGTAGTAGTCAAATTTATAAAGTTACAAAATAATAACAATTCTCTGTTAAATTTAACTGTAACGACACTAGCGGAGTTTATGAATAGCTGAGCTGATGTGTCTACACATCAGATTTTTATCTATTTAAATAATCAATTTTTAATTTGTAGTTTATTAAGAAATTATATAAAATAAAAAAGGTATACCAATCGAGTCTTTTCCCTCCAGCGTCCATGCAACATACTCTCTTATGACTTTTATTATAGGTAATCAAACAAAACAATAACTGACTCATCAAAAAATAAACTCTACTACTCTAGAGGAACTGGACCATCGAATCAACCCACCAAAAGATTCATGAATAAGTTGCTCAACCAAATTGCAGGGAAGTTGCGAATCGAACTACACATGCCAATGCCATAAGTAACAACTAGCTTGTTGCCCGGTCCGTTGGCCGGAGAAAATTAAAATACGATAGGTTGACCTAAGAAATGCGATGTAATAAATGAAAAAGAATATTTCTACAACGACTCTAACTTAAAGATGGTGTGAAAAACTCATTCTCAATAGCTTTATGTCAAGTTTGGATAGAAAACAAAGCATGCCAATCTTAAAGGAATTCATATTGATGATTTAGATTCTAGGAAACTCGATGCACATGCATAGAATGGACAATAATGAGACTTCAAATATATATTTCTCATGAAGAAAGCACTGCAAATTCAAAATAGGCTCAACATAGTTTGAGTAAAACAAAGTTCAAATATTTATGTGGCAAAGATGGGTCATCCACAACATAAAACTTAAAATATAGAAAATTAATAGTAGCTATCAGCTATTCCATCCATATGACTGATGCAACCTACTCCTCCTCAATTAACTTCCTCTTCAGAGGCATACAAACACCACCATCAAGGCTACCATCTCCTTCCTGTACATGCCCAACTGCAATTGTAGTATCCAGAATGGATTCTCCGGTAGATTGTTGTCCCACGACAGTGATGGGTGAAGGTGAAGACTTATTTCCTTCCTTGGAGTGCTGAGACAAAATGCAGCTAATTAAATTTGTGACAGAAGGTGGAGGCACATTTTGAGGTTAAGGTTGAGTTCGTATTTAGTTAACAAAAATACCAAAAAAGCATGATTATGCATAGCAAGCAAATTGGGGAGTCCAACGTTCATAGGTAATCATGTTCTATACTGATGCAACAGGCCAAAACACCACTTAGCAACATGATCCACATAAGGTACAACACAGGTTGTAACTTTTGTTGTGAAAAAAACAGGACTTTCACTCATAGCCCAATCAGAGACAACCGCAGGAAAATGAATCATCATTATTCATAGGCTTGCTTCTTCAATCGTCAAAATAGTTCAGAGTTCATCATGCAAATGGCATTCCATTAGCTGGAAATTAAGCATCAGTACGACATCCATTCCCATCGTTTCATCCACAGCAAGAAAGCTTATAAATGGAAGCACATACCTGACCAGGTTTAGACGTTTTAGTGCGTAGCTGATGTACCCCTTCAGGCTCAACAATCTTCACGACACTAAATCCATGTCCTGGATTTTTGAAAGTGTATGAATTGAGTTTGACTTGTAATGTGACATCTAGCCCTTGAAAGTTCTGAATAACAGATGGAACCCCAGTAGGTTGTTGATCGTTCGAAGTGTAAAGTTCTTCAGCCGTCTCATAAAAAAAATTACCGGCTGCATGATCCAGCACAACAAAAAGTGCTTCGGCAGATGAGTCTATCACAGACAGCTCAAACCGAAACCTGCAATGGATAAGTAGATGATATTATAATCGTAAATATGTTATACCGTTGACTAAATAGATTTTTCTCAATATGACCAATAATATGAAGTAGTAAGGAATTCATAAGAAGCATGCAACATACACAAACCTTTTCACTGATTGAATTGAGCGTACATTACACTTTTCACAGTAGAAATGATCCACTCCAGCACGCAATTTGGAGGAACATTTCGCACAACCATCGTAGCACCAGTTGTGCATGACTTCACAAACGTTGCCGCTAATAGTGAACACCTTATTCTGTGATGACAAACAAACAACTAAAATCAACAGGTCTGCTTTATAATAATTAAGCATAAATATTTTTGGGCATGGATATAACATGCTCTGCCCTTGATAAAAAAACTTAAAGAAACACTGGTCTACATTACCATATTGGCAGAGTTGCTAAGCAAGCTCATCAAATCTTCTATGAAAATTGGTGGGGGATCAACTTCTCGTTCAAGGAACCGTGGAGAACTTAATTCATGATTCCTTGCACCACAACTGAACAATTAGTAAATGCATATGTATTTCTTTGAACTATGCTTCTGTTATGTTATGTGTATGGACAAACAAACTCGGTCGATAATACCTTTGCTGGAAGGCTGCAACTTCAGGTAATTCTAAACTTGCATAAAATTTGGTCGCACTTGACGATGATAATTTCACCTCACCTGATAAAATCGAATTGGAGGACTACGAAGTTAAGCATCCACTTATTACTACGGTAATAGATAGTTCAGTTGAACTTACCATTGTACTTTGTAACAAACACAGAAGAAATAACCAAAATGATTGGCCCGGTACCGGCTGCCAAGATGACTTCATCTAGTTGAGTGATAAGTCGTCCCCAAATTACTAAAGTCACCATAACTCCCCTAAGATTTTTGTTGTTAACCATTAGTCAGTATAATAATAAAGAAGATGCAAGCAAACTTTTAAGTTGGATTTTTTAAGTTTAGAACAGTACTCAAGCAACATGATCATAATTTCCTTGCGAGTAGACCTCCCTCTCAGATTAGTTGTGGTAATAGGAGCCAAACATACCTTCACCAGGCCAACAACATCTACATAATGGGATAGAGGTGGGTATCTCATAAGTTAGTAATTGAACATTGAAAACACCGGTACTACAAACGGAAATATTAATTACCAAGCAAAACCAATCTGTTGTTGATGTTCTTGGGTATGTCAGAATGCTCGATGAATCTGAAGATGTGGCGAGGGATGGGTTGTGTAATGTCCGTGGGGCGAATGGTTGTCCCTGGTTGAAACTCAATGCACAATGGATTCTTAACAGGACGATACTTCTTGTTGTCAGTTAATTGACTCACTTTGAACTTCGCAATGATATAGATGGCTTGTTCTTTAATCTTCGAATCAAATCTCTTAATCAAGTTCCGGGGAACTTGAACCCAAATGACATCTCCCTGTGACCACGTCCACAAACTAATGTTACAAAATTGAGGTTGGAACATGTCATACATAAAGCTGTGTACCAAAGCTCGTAAATACCTTTGCATCCAGCAACAACATATCTAAACTCATCACAATATCAGTATTCGGGTTGATAGCTATCCATTTCCTTGAAACTCTGCATTGCAAAACCCAAGTCAGATTTTCTTCGGTGGTGAGTTGAGCAATCGGAACACTTTGATCCATTGCTGGGAGTGCCTTCTTCACAGACAGATGGAGGCTCGAAGTAAGCTTTATATTCACACAACTTGGTAATTTGAGGTTTAGAGTTCACAACTCACCGTTTGAAGTGAACGCAATCGCCTAACAGGTGGAGAGCTACCTTTTCGTCGCTGCTTCCCGTCCCATGATGTCCACGTTCGGATATGAGATAGTAGTCAAAGAGATCCGTTATAACCCTCACCATGATCTCCGAATCGAAGGGAAAGGCTACCCACGTTCTGGTCGGCGGATTCAAGTACTTTGGAGAAACCCCTTTGTGTTCGTCCTTTCTAGGAAACAGAGAAGCGGCGAGGATGCCTGCTGCCTTTCCAAGGAAAAATGAAAGGATTGGAATGGTTCAAGTAGGCTAATATGAAGATAGATATTGATGGGCTTTAAAACTCAAAAGGCCCAAATATTTTGTCTTGATCAGGCGAAGCCCCAAATATAATTTTATGTCCAAAGAATTGTTTACGTGAAACTCACCAAAACGCAGAGTATCCGTCATCTTCAGACAATTCTACCTATTTCTGTTCACTTCATCGTCTCCATGAACATCGATGTTATCCATATAACCTCTTTTATTGAAAAAAAACTGAAGTCCATCCATTTGCCTTCAGACAAAGGGATCGGAATACGAAATCGGAAGTCCCTCTCCTTGATTTCCGCCTCTGTTGCTCCTCCCCGCCAGACTTGATGGCTCTCGATCACGATTCATAACTTCGTCCCTTCACAATTCTTACGTCCTCGGCGCAATCCCCCAATATAATGTTGGCGCCCGATTAATTGAAAGATGAATCCCGCTGGGTGTCAAGGTGGGGTTTACAGTCGAGTGCAAATAACGAATCGCGCTGATAGAAAGTTGCTTCCTCCGGCGGCAGCCATTACAAAAATGGGGATTTGGGAGTTGCTTCCGCAACTGACTGAAGAGGGAGAGCCAGAGGATAAGTGAACTGAAATAACCATACATAAAATGACTTGTGTGTAACAAAAACAAAAACCCCAAGTCGATGGTGAAGTCAACCAGCAGGAGGATGGGGAAGCTGGAATGCAGCTGGCAACCACATGATTCTTATCCTTGATCTCCTGTTTGAAAGTGAGGGTCCAGAGAAGGCTGCCAATAACGAATCGACAGTCGTTAAATAGAATGAGGTAAGTTCAATTATGTTGCTTACAACATTATGTTTCTTGGATTCATTGGAACAACCTTTAGGAAATGACTTGTGAGTTGTACAGCATGATTACCAGGAATTCTTCGACACACATAAAGCCACATGAAGTTTAAGTGCACATCAGCATTTCCAAATCCCATTTACAGTTAGGAGATATACATGTCTCTATGGCGAGAGAAGGATTCCAAAGCATCCTAGCTCAAACTCTTTGGAGCAACTGACTTCTTGGACCCTGCTATGTAAGTACCAAACTCCCTCGATTTTATTTAAGTGCTGGAGTCTGTCTATTAACAGAGTGATGTGTTCTAGATTATAAGTAGGTAAAATCCTTCAATTGAAAAGACACAAAATTGAAATTAAGAAACCAAATTTAAGGAAATATATTTCATTAACTGAACTTTAAGAAACATGATCAGTACTTAGGAAACAGAAACATAACAGAAAATAGACTGACCAGCTAATTAACACTTGCTGGTCCTAATGTTCAGCTAATAAAGAAAGAAACAGATATGAACACATTTACGTCCCCATAAACCACTAATCCCTTGATGAAACATTATCTACCAGAACAACTTGCGCAGGACTACATCAAATTCATTTGTCAACTGGTTGAAACCACCCAGTTCGACCATCAGCTTGAATGATTGACCCCTTAAAGAATCCAAGAGAATGCTGAAGTTCTGGGTCCATTCTCTGTCTGTTCCCTCAATAATACGACTTGCAATCCAGCGGAACTTGCTTGTCGTAAACATAACAACAACTTCATCAGATCCTTTACGAATATTCAACTGCACCAGATACTTGAGCCTTGAGGGGGACCAGAAGATATTCACATCTTTCACTTGGGCATCAACAATAAAGTAAATGCCCTGCAATGTAATGAAGAAAAAAGATTGGAATAACCATTGTTTGGATGAAACTTTACTCTTTTGTTGGTTGTTAAAACAAAGCACATATATAAATCGAATTGGTGATTACTGTCCACCCGATTGTGGAAATACATTACCTGGTTATTGATGTCAGTCTTGTACATGTTCAGCTCAGGAATTGAAGAGATGATACTCACCCCTATGGCTTCCTCCAAAGTATAGTCAATAGCCAGGAAAGCATTTTCTATACTGTTATTAAATAGGAATGCATTAGTCACACGAAAAGTGCAAGTTCAGTTTACAAATTCCACGTATTTCTGTTCTGCTGTACACTTACTTATTCAGCAAAGGGTGTTGGTGAGGATAGTGCAAATTGCAGTAGAGTTTGGTGGCATTTGATCCAACACAGTAGTGTTGACCTACAGTCAATGCATACAACAGTTCAGCAATAGGATTAGCTTTAAAACAATACGTCACAAAAGCTTAAAACAAAAAGAAAGACTAATACCATTGAAATGCTGAACTACCACAGAGGTGAACACAACTGTGGTTCCAGGGTCCGGGTGATGAGGCATCAATTCTTGGAATTGATCAATCAGACCATCCCATAAGATGACTTCCACTATGTCACCCCTAAAGTAAAAAATAACCACAACGATGAATGCACCCAAAAAAATGCAGGAATACATGCAATTTCAATCGTAACGTAAAGGCAATAAAACTAACTCTAGCAATCTCAGGTCAACAGTTTTTCGCCTTAGAACAGCAACATCCTCGAATAGTGCTTGTTCTGGTCCGGCAGCTACAACCTCACCGATTATATCTGACCAAACACAGAGAGACAGATTTATTGGGACTGAATAACTAAAACAAAACAAAAAAAAGCAAAGTTTAGTGTGCATTAGCGTTACAAGACATATAGGCATGGTTGTGGACAGCTTGCGGTAGATCCGCGGCGGCCAAAAAACGGAAATTATACGTCGGTATATCATGCGCATTCGCCACTTCTTCAACCAATGTATCATCACCAAAGCAGATTCGGCGGGTAGAAGGCGAAACTCTATAGTGACCATGATAGGAACGAACCACAAAGTTTCTGAAGACGTAAATCCTTCCGGCCTGAAGAATGGGCTGAAACTCTGGTACATGAACTGAGCTAACTAAGCCCTGCATCTCTGTTACCTACAAAACAGAGGGAGTTTCAGTTCACTGTTTTATACTGTATGATTGACGCTATAGCATCTAACGTTAAGACTTGTAAATCTTGAGACAATGATACCTCGTTGTCTAGCAGCAACATATGAAGTTGGTGAATCTGCACACCATCTGGCTTCATTGTCCTCCATAATCGAAGGATCCTGACGCGGACAGCGGCGTTGTCTTCATGCAGGTTGAGCTGGGATAGACTGCAGAACTCCATGGATGCTTTCAAACAAATAAAATCTAGGTAATGCTTTTCAACAGTGTGAGAGCTTTTGAGGGTCACACTTGCCTTTATATAGTGTTCCGATTAGATGTGGTTTGTGCTGGAAATGAGTGAAAGAGTGGATGAACGTGGAGGTCATGGGAATAACCCCACTAACATCCTGTGGCAGAAAGTATCTTAAGAAGGTCAATACTTTTTTGTTTATTTAATTTATAAGTGAATACTTTTATGATTTAATAGAAAATCTTAGAGTAAATACAATTTATTAGCCAAACCTTTCATTTTAAACAAAATAATAGCCAAACCTTTTCAAAACCAATTTATTAACCAAACCGTTAACTTTTCATCCGGTCAACCGTTAGTTGACTCTGATGTGGCAAACTATTAAATGAGATGGATGGTTTTTGATGATGTGGCAAACAGTCAAATGTTTGACTATGCCACATGGATATAAAATCATATTTGCAACAATTTTTAATTTTTGAAAAATGAATATAATAAAAGTATATAAATAATAATAGTCAAATTACAAAATAAAAAAGAAGATTTTCCTTCCTCTCTCTTCTCTCCACTCTCCCCTGCCGCGATGCCGCCATCACACCACCGATGTCCGTCTTTCACGGCGACTAGCTTCACTAGCTCCCCATCTTGCTTATCGGTGTTGCGTTCTCCATCTTTGTTATGACCCATAGGCAACCTTGAATTTGTGGAGAGAACCTGAAGGCCCAACAGGCAGTGCCCCAAAATCTCTAACCCAGGAAAATCCTTAACCCCTTCAATTTGAATCCACCAACAGGCGTTGCTCCTCTTGATGGGAACACATACGAGGATCCAGAGATTAGGAGATTAGGGTTTTATGCGATTTTGTTTCCCTTGATAGAGATATGGGTTTCTTCAATAAAGCCCACTACCGAGTTTCATCTTCTTCTTCGCGTTCAGACAAGGAGGCAGAGTAGGGTGTGCCGATTCATCTTCTTCTTCGCATTCAAATAAGGAGAAGACAGAGGATGGGCTAGGCTAGCGCCAATTCATCTTCTTCGCGGGCAGGGAGGCATAGCAGGGTCTTCGATCTTTGCAATTTTCACCAATCACTTTCTCCTTGCGCGCTCTCTCTGATCTATCTCCGGCGGTAGCTTCTCTCTTGCACGCTCTCTCTGATGTCTCTCCGGTGCCAGCGACCAGATTCATCTACGTCTCTCGCTTTCTCTTGTATCGGCGGGAAGAAGCTTCTCAGGAGAAGATGGAGATGTGAGAAAGTAGAAAGCGAGGATGGAGATGAGCACCAGTCTGGAAGATGGAGAACGGAGCCAACAACTGTGAAAGACGAACGGCGGTGGTGCAAGGGCGGCAGGGGAGAGTGGAGAGAAGAGATAGGAAGGAAAATCTCCTTTTTCATTTTTTATTTTATAATTTGATTATTATTTATGTTTTCTTAGTTTATTCATTTTCCAAAAAATAAAAATTATTTGGTAAAATGTATTAATATCCATGTGTCATGGTCAAACATCTGACTGTTTGCCACATCATCAAAAATCATCCATCTCATTTATGTTTTGCCACATCAGAGTCAACTAACGGTTGACCGGATGGAAAGTTAACGGTTTGGCTAATAAATTGTTTTTGAAAAAGTTTGGCTATTATTTTGTTTTAAGACGAAAGGTTTGGCTAATAAATTGTATTTACCCAAAATCTTAGTACCCTGAGTAATGTACGGCAAGTTTGTTGTGTGTGGGTGACTGAGGATCATGGTGTCATGCCAGCCGGCATGCCACCAGTTCCTGATTCAACCGGTTCCGGTCATGAAACCGGCATGACATTACATATATGACTGACATGATTGATCTGTGAATTTTTAAGTAAAGTTATATTGTTTTAGTGAATTTAAATATAAGTACATGTAATTTTATTGAAAATATCACATTTTATTTAAATATCAATATGAATTGTACATAAATTGTCTTCAAATATGATTTATATATGATTAAATTCATTTGACATTAATGATTTTTGACATTTCTACATATTTTATTAACCAGCATAAACCGGTTGTACCACTGGTAGAACAATTCCACTTGCTAAACCGACACAACGCTATAAACCGGTTTGACAACCTTGCTGAGGATTCAAATTTTGCCACATAAGCCTAAATTTATGCACATTTCTTTTAAAATAATGCTAGTGTCCCTAAACTCATCTGGTTTTGTCCCGTGTGGTGAATTTGTGCATTGAGCATCCTGTTTCCCTATGAAAGACACCAATATTGCGATGACATGTACCCACGTAATCTTGGTATATTTACAGCTCCAACGTAATTAGAGGTTATGATGTAGCCATTTTAGGCTGCTAGGAGTGATCCCAATGAACTTATTACTGAAATTTCCTACGTGGAAGAAGCTCCATCTTTGGGCTATGATTCCAGCATCATGACGAACCCCTTAATGTGAGCTGGCAGGTCCACTTAAACTCTCTTAGATTCCACCCAGCTGGTAACTCCCCTACATCTCTGTCTGCAATCAAATTTCATATACCCTGTTATCTAACTTTAGCTCTGAATTTACTTCGCTATTCTGATGAATTACTCCCATGCAGATGCTTAAAAGTGAGAGAGTGCAGGAAATGGGTGCTGATGAATGTATAATATGTCGCCTGGCCAGCATGTCGTACCCTTACAAACAACAATATGGATCAATCATTACCACTAAACAGTTTAATACTTGCACCAGCATTGAGATAACACTTCTGTCAATATGGGGAACGTGTAGCTTGCTGATGCTTCATAGGGTGGGCCAGCTGTTTCTTTAGACACGTAGGTGTTTAGGTTGGATTATCTATTTATGAACTTGTTGGCATTTTGCCTCTACCCATCTCACAGATAAAATGTAACTGAATTCTCATTGCTAGGATAGGCAAAGAGGCAAGCAAAAATTAGAAATAGTGTTTGGTGTTTGAACTCGGGTTATGTTCATAGCCACGTAGAAACTCAAATGCAAAAAACTTAAGTGCAAAGAAAAATAGCATGTCCTTGTAAATTTGGTCTTACAAAAGGTGGCAGTTTTATATGATGTTTTGTTGACACATGTTTCAACTTCCTGTATATATATGAATCAGAAATCAACAACGTCATTATCCCTGTCACCTACTTCATTCATTTGCAGGAATTATAACCATATAAGATGAGAACTCCACCAATACAGTACAGATGGAAAAAATTGTTCGAAAAAGCAGTTAGTTCCATCAATCTAGAATCTCTTTGTAGACAACATTTTGCATAGTGAGTGTATGCTCTCCATCAGTGTTGCAGCTATAGATCTTAATCCCAGCCTTTCGAGTGACACGCGACAATGCTACATATAACTGGCCATGACAAAATACTTGTTTATGCAAATACAGGCCTACATGATGAAGGGTTTGACCTTGGCTTTTGTTGATTGTCATGGCAAATGATAGGGCTATAGGATATTGACGACGCACCAATGTAAAATGGAGACTTTTGTACCGTTCTGATAACTTCAATCCAGGTAAGAATACACGCTCGCCAATACTGGTACCTGTAAGAATTTGAACCTCAATAAACCATGAACCCATTTTTGTTACAACCAGCCTTGTTCCATTAACCAAACCAATACTTTGATCCAAGTTCCTGAGGAGAATAACCGGACATCCAATCTTCAACTTCAGCTCATGATCAGGGAAGTTGCCAACCATCAAAGAATTCAAAAACTTTGTAGAATAATCACTCTCCATAATATTTGGTTGTCCGGGATCAACTTCAATGGAGTCACTGCTAAGATAACATCTTGGCTCACCAGGAAATTCCAGCAGAATTTGAGAATTGACAGCCGATACAGCTTCATGGTGAGGGGCCAGTATAGCTCGTTCAACCAAATACTTATAATCAGAATAGCATGTTGACAGGTCAGGATATGTTGAGTTGACAACATCAGAAATAGGATCATGTATCGGTTGAATACACAGTTCTGATGGAATTTTAATTGTTGATTCACCAAACACATTTGAATTGATGCCATCTCCAATTTGTAAAATCCAAGAACTAAAGGTAGAAATTTCTTCAGACTCGGATGCAGACTCTGCCATAGAGCGACGCAGTCTCATGTTCTGCGTCAATTTCAACACTATGATATGTTCCCAGATGTAAGATTTCTTTATAGAAGCATTTAGAATCTGATTTCGAGCACCTTTCGGAACAACAGGCAATGTTTGTCGAAAGTCTCCACCAAATACAACAGTCAAACCCCCAAAAGTTCTCTCTGCACTACGGCGATCCTTGATGCGCAATATGTCACGAAGAGTCATGTCCACTGCCTCGATATTATGTTTATGAGACATGCACGTTTCATCCCAAATAATCAAAGAAGTCTTTTGAAGAAGTTGAGCCAATTCACTACCTTGATCAATGTGACACGTGGATGTAGAGTCACAATCAATCGGTATATAAAAACGGAAATGAGCTGTTCTGCCTCCGGCCATTAGCAAGGCTGCAATTCCAGAAGATGCAACACATAAAACTATCTTTTTTTCATACCGCAATTTCAGGCAAAGAACCTGCCACAAGAAAATCTTCCCGGTACCCCCATATCCGCCAACAAAGAAGCATTTCCCTTGGTCAGCATTGACAGACTGTAATATTGCTATGAATGCAGCCTGTTGATCAGAATTCAGCTTCGGATACATGGCATCAAATTCATGCTTTTGGAGTGCTACATCATAATTAAGTTCCATGGCGATCATACGATTGCTAAAACTCTGGGCTGTAAATGAAGTTGGAGTTGGCAACCCTGCAATAAGAGACAAAATAGAATGAGATAGTTTTCCTATTTGAAAGACATAAAGTAAGCAGAAGCCTCGTCTTAGGTATCTTTTTAACATAATTTACTAACCTGGGAAATCATATAATGATTTCCAATGCTTTTGTAGTAACTTGTCTATCTCAATAAGACACAATTCCTTAAGTTGATCCGGAGATAATTGCAAGTTTGGTAAATTCAATGCTCTACGCTGACGCATGATAAGATCATCACTAAGCAGTTCCCAGTTCTCCTCCCATAATGTCTTCACATCTGGTACCTGATTGTGTATAAGAATGGTTACGAACAAATTCCTCATTTTAGACCCGGATGCCCAAAAAGAAACTTCCTTAATACAATCAGTCCACTCAGTATCATCAGCTAATAAGCCAAGTGCATAACATGCCTCCTTGAAAGTATCATGTACTACCCCATTGACGGTACAGATCTCTTCATAACTTTGACATCCTCTCACCACATGAAGTAACAAACGCAGGTAATACCTATCCTTGGCTGAGGGATAACAATAATATAACCTGCCGATACACATTCTCTGCTTTCGTGTCTGCCATCTCTTTAATTTCTTATTCCATGTGTAGTACTGCGGGAATTCAACAAATGTATACCTTCGAGAAGCATGAGAAGTACGGTTAATTTCCATCCATCCCAACAACAATGAGGTTTCCGACTGAAGCAAAGATTGCATGTTTGATCTCTGCGTGGAATACACTTTGTTTTCCCCAGGTAAGTGAAATGAGAGTCGCATAACTGATGGAGACTGATGATAAAGATCGAATTTATATAATCGCCAGCATGCTTCACCGGCCGTTATGTAACGACAGTCCATGAATGCCTTGATCTCATCTATACGTTGAGTTGCAGCCGAAGAACTTTCATCAATCCCTTGATCACCTGTCGCTTGATTTGCATGTACCGTCGCCATTGCTCGATCCTCAGGTTTGTTAATATACTGGAACAGGTATTTAATGGCCCTGAGAAATGTACATTACTTGGTTAATCACAAATGCTAATCACACTGATTGGAAAAAGGATACTGCTGATTAAATAATAACTCTCAAAACCACACAACATGTTCAAATAAGAACTTTCCTTTCATTTAAGCATCACCTTGTCAATGTAATAACGTGGCTATTATTGGTTTTTTATTGGTACTCTAATACGTTCAGTTCTAATCCTACACTAAGTATATTTCAAATAGAAATAAAACAAAACTAACATTTTCTTATGGGTTGTCCCAACAAAAAAAACCCCTGTAATGAAGATTGAAACTAACAGTAATTAAAAAGGACGAAAAAATACCTTGACTTATTGCAAAATTCCACATTTATGTGAGCTTGGAACCACAATAGTAGATATCGATTGTACGGAACCACGAATCGATTATCCAAAGCCACACCTTTGACGTTTACAAATCTGTTATTATTACGTCGCCGATATTTTGCAAACCCATTCTCATCTATAGTTGTCTGACTGCAATATTGTTTAGGAAAGTGCTTAGAGCATTCTCCATTTTTCATGCAAGGCGACTTGGGTCCAGCAGCTCCGCAAGGTCCATGTAACATAAAATTACAGACAACCTCATATCCTTCTGGATCAATAGCAGGATCAGGAATTTCAGCTGAGATGATTGAATCAATGTCTGTGGTTCCACACAATTTGTCTTCAGCTGCTAAGAAAACCAGAATATGGGAATGGGGGAGGCCTCGCTTCTGGAACTCCAGAGCCCTCACATTTGTTGATGAAAAAGGTAAACACCATTAGCAAAGAGGCATAAACATGAAGTATCATAACTGTTAAAAAAAACTATTAGTATCATACAATTATTTAAGGAACGATGTTGGGGCCCTTTTGTAAACATGTATTCCCAACTGTACTTTGACTGTGAAACACGCTAGATAGCATAGAAGAGACCTTTTGTTCTACAGTTTCCCCCTAATTTCCCTGTTGGGACCTTATGGAGGTGATAAGCATACACCCAAAGGTTATGCGAAGGGCCTAAAAGCTCCTATCAAGTTCTTGAACAACAATTCAGCAATAAAGTAACCATATTAGAGAAAACACAAATAAACAAAAGACATCAAGCAAAGAACAATAAATTAAAACACCATAAACCATACTCCAATTATTTCTATGATGAATTGCATGGAGAAAGAGATAAAACCTACGTGCACATGTCTTCCCAAAAATATGCCGATCCTTGATTTCATACATCAACTGATTTAACTTCATCTTGTACACCCGAGCAATCGCATCAGCACGATTTGGATCTTTTATGCCCCGCAGGGCCAACAGATCACTCATTAATTGAATTTCAGGCCAATTGGCGTTGCATGTAAATGTTATAAACAAATCTGGATAGCCTAGGGAGCGACAGATTGCCATTGCATCTTGAAAATTCTCATACTTGTAGCGCGGGCTACCTGTATGCGATGCAGCTAAAATAACACGTTTTCCAGACAATTCCAAGTCTGTGTCACCTCTCAGAAATAAATCCAACAATCCTTGAAAATAATGAGCACGTAATGTTGCCTGATTATTGCGAATCCAAGCGAGTCGTTCTGCTTCAACCAACGCGTAAGCATTTACCATATACTGCTGCAACAGTTTTCCAGCTAACAGAAATGAATTTGACTGCTCCAATCGCGTCTTAAGTACATAGCTATAATAATCACATTGGCTCATATTCCGTTGGCCTATACCATCCTCATCATCTCCTTCCATAAATTGACCATCATAGTAGAATAACTCTGGATGCCACCCATCCTCCCCATATGGGAACAAAATAGGGTACTGCAATGGCATCAAGCTCGGATGGTACATTGAAATTTGCTCCATTTCCAACGTACGATGTTGAACAATAATATCATGCCCAAACATTTCTTCTCCGGCTTCATCGACAATTAAGGCAGCAATTTCATCTGATGTTGGTAACTCGTACTCTCGTCCGACACCTGCTCGGCGTGCAAGCAATCTTATATGAGCTTGTTGGATTGCCCCTTCGTTTAATCTATCTCTTGCAGTGCGGAACGTTTGAACCAAAATATTATTCTCATCTAACATCGCCTGCAATCCTTCGACAACAGACTGACGTAAAGGATTTGCCTCTCTATCTTGATTATAGAAATCCAATCAGTTTCTTGTCTCGTTCATTGTGTCATAGATATATAGTTGTGCAAACTTGGGGGATGTACCTTCAGGAGGAAGTAAACTGCCAATGCGATGATATATTTGTCCACCAATAGAGTAAACATAGACACCAGCTCCATTGTTTATAGAATGATCCACCTTGCCACCGAGCGAGGTGAAGCAGAAAATTCCATTATATCCGCGAATAAATTGACGAAAATGTCGGGCAATTGCAGTACTCCCTTCAAGCAAAGGTTTCAGAAATTCCGGGGGGTCCCTGCGACGTGGCAGTCTAACCTTTCCTTGTTTGCAGCACAATGAAAACAACAAAGGTGCCGCAGATCGTGTAGAGCTTACACTCTCCAAATACCACATGCTAGCCCCACAAAAAGAACACACACATGATGGTGCGCCCACTGTAAAGACCTCAACAGATGGATATCCTACATGAAGAACAATTAAATAATCATTATATTTATTTTACCTCACGTGCTTGACAAAGATTGTAGTTATGTTATTAGGCTTACCAAAAAATGCAGAAAATGATAAAGGGGAATTGGTTGGAAAACTGATTTTGACATTTGAATCGAGTTTTCAACAATAACTTCGGACCCGAATGCCATAATGAATGCACAGTAAGATGTTTAGCCATGCTGGATAGACTATGCTTGTCCAATATATAAAGTAAAAAGAATAATATGCATACCAGATTGGTCCCTGAAGTAATTTTGCCCCTGTCGTTTCTTGTAGAGATGAATGCGCCTCGACATTCTATTGCGTGCAGCATTAACCTTTGTGAAGTGGGTTTGTAAAGATGTAACTGAAATTTGTAATTGATATTTATTTAGTATAAATAATTATGCTATTAGGAGTGACAAATTATATGAATAAATTATAGGTAGCGGTGAAAAACGAATATGAAACAAATATACACTTACATGTGTCTCCCATATGTGTGGTAGTACGGGATCGCTTAGTTGTAATTATAGCACGTCGTCGCTGTCGCGCAACCCTAACAAAGTTGGAGGTAAGTTTTTCCAGCTCAGCCTGCATTGCCTCTAACTCTGCACGCGAATAAGAACCACTCTTCCAATGATGTTACAATAAGGTAAGAATAATAATACGATCACTATAAAGAATACGAACTTACCTGCTTCATATACCCTGGGGTCCTTTAGGGCGGGGGGAGCAGTTTCAGGTGGTAAGAAAATGGCACGACCCTTCCCTGCAAGAGATAAGTAGCACAATTAGCGGGTGGATTTCACATATACGGATCAAGGTTTGGGAAACGCTGCAGTAGAGGGATTTCACATGTACACTGGCTTTCTCAAAAACCCACAAATGTGTTTCTTGGCATGGTCATATGCCTGTTGGCATCTCATCACAGTCGCCTCACCCAGCCAGAAGTACATGCTCTATCTACTCCTGTGTTTAGTTTATTACTCTTTTTTCATATCTATAATCACTGCTTGGTTTATCACTTGGGTTCCTCTGTTCCCCTAACTATTGCGACATGTTGAAACATATAAAGTTTCCCATAGATTGAAAGGAATCAAAGATTGTTGTCCTGTAGATAGTCGTGGAAGATGTAAAATTAACAATCATGCAAGGCCTTTTACTTTGTGATCGAACTCGGCTAGTTACGTAGAAGGAGAAATCTTACACGGTACATTGCTTTGATCCAAGTAATCTTCAATATGCGAAGAAGATGACTCCCCGATGCTGGAAGCTACGTCAAGCATAGTCTATATATTGAACCAGATGTAGAGAGAAGGTGGGTAGGAGGGGGATTTTCAATCAGGAGAGTTACAGTGTCGGAGAGTGACGGGGGAGAAAGCAAAGAAGGAGGAGCACTGCCGGTGTGAGTGACTGGGGATGTAATCCGGAGAGAAGGTTAGTCCGCTATTTCCAATTGGTTGGTGGCACTTGTCGCTAGGTATAACAGATTCCGGAGAGGGATGTGCAAAACGTCAAGGATGCGTTTCGCCGCAGCCGGTGTGAGTGACTGGTGATGATATGTTGGCGAGCAGGTTCGTCCCCTAGTTCCAATTGGTTGTCGGCGCTGGCCTCTAGAGAACGGATCCGGAGAGTGACGGGAGAACGCCAAGGAGGAGCTGCACCGCCGGTGCGAGTGACTGGGGATGCAAGCCGGCGAGCAGGTCGTCGCTAGGTCGAGTGGAGGTTGGTTGTCGGCGTTGGCCGCTAGAGAACGGATCCGGAGAGTGATGGGAGAACGCCAAGAAGGAGCTGCACCGCCGGTGTGAGTGACTGGGGATGCAAGCCGACGAGCAGGTCGTCGCTAGGTCGAGTGGAGGTTCGCGTCGATTAGTGTTGTGTTTTGTGATTTGGAAGATGAACAATTATTCATTATTTTTTTATTATTTTTTTATTGGGTTGTATAATTACATAATTGGGTCTCCGATAATTGCTCTCTGGCCTGGAAATTTAAAATCCTGAATAACTGCTTCTAAGTCCACTATTATATATTTGTAGATGTTGCTGCATAGTTGAATGAGGTTAGAGTTAAACCTCGAGTGAACTGTTGTCTAAGAGGTATGAACGGTTAAACATAACCATGGTTAAACCATAATTTTTGTACTAAATACCACCCATTTTTGTGGTACAATCTACTGTACGGTTATCCACTCCTTACTACGGGTAGAAAGCCTTGAATGCATGGATTAAAGGGGAAAGATCCACGTATTTAGCGGAAAAGGAAAAGCCGGAACAATTATCCACCACGAAAGAAAGTTTGTTTTAAATAGGGTTTAGGGTTTATTAGGACTATAAATAAAAAAGGGTTGTCCTTGTATTCCTATCGCCGTCGAGTCTGTTTTCACAAGGCAGCAGATAGATATTGGTCCAATGGCGGCAGACACTCCTCCCATCAGCAAACTAGGAGACGATCTCCTCGAAGAAATTCTTGTTCGCAGCTTCCCGAATCCCAGATCCGCCTGCCGAAGCAAACCAGTATGCAAGCGATGGAACTCCCTCATCTCCCACACTGGCTTCAACCGCAGTTTCGTTTCTCACCACAGGAGCATAAGCGAAGGCCTGCAGCCACCTCTACTCCTCTACAAGGACGATCCCCTGCCTTCGCTCCTAAGCTTCCTCCTCGTACCCGACGAATTGCGATCCAATTTCGTCGTTTGGGATTCCTTCAAGGACTTGCTTCCGTGGGGTTTTCAGAATTCGGTGTGGGACTACAATCACGAAAGGGCCCGATCGCTCTTGATCTGCAATCCGTTTACGAAGCAATGGGTCGCCCTTCCTCTGGAGCCCGAAACGCCAGGGTACAGGTCCTACGAAATGAAGGAAGCAAAATTGATCTGTCGAAGAGTTCGCAACGTTAATAGTTTGGATCTGGGGGGATGGTCAAGTATTTAGGTACCCCGACTATCGATTTCGCGTTCTGGTTCGATACGAAGGGGATCCGGTGTATGAATGGGGTTCGGAGCTAAAAGTGTTTTGTTCCGAGTCCGGAGAATGGTCGAGCAAAGTAGTGAATTATCGTCTTCCATCCGACGCGACATCTTGGGACGGGAAATTGTATTGGATCAAATACGGCAGCGAAATTGAGAGGTTTGATGCTTTCCACCCAAATAAAAAACCGATCACCATACGTAATATGGAATTCGTTGGCAGGCAACATCTGTTTTCCCAGTTATCGGGCTCACGGGGTGCTCTTTATATAGTTGAACACCATCGACCCGACTATGGTGAGGCCGATGACGACGATGTTTTCGTGGTTTGGAGGTGGGAAGGAGGCCGCAAGACATGGATTCTGTGCTATCAAGTGTCGTTGGAGAAGCTAAAGCGCAACGGCGGCGGGCCCGAAGTTGAGGAGCTGGAAATTGTTTCTGTGCTCGCTCAACATTCGGAGCAGCCGGAGATTTTGTTCCTGGAATGTTACTGCAAACCCGCGAATTTCAAAGAGACGGAAATTCTGTTCTATTGTTGGGGAGAGCCGTTTTTCAAAGACATCAAAGAGACTCTTGTGTTTACGTGCAATTTAAGGACGGAGAAATTGGAGCTCGTTGCTGATCAGAGACAATGCACTTTTCTTTGTTGCTGGTTGGTGTTGCAGCCTTGGACCACTTGTTTTTCTACATCGATTCCCAGCTATGAGAAATTGCTCGGCATGTATAATGAAAGTTGCTCTGATTTGATTCAGAGTAGACAATCAACTTAGGAGTGATTTAGAGAGTTTAGATTTATAAAATTTATGTATTCTGCAGAAAGTTGTATTTTTTGCTGATTTTTTTATACATACTCATAAGAACAAATCTATCCCAACATGCATCTTATGATAAATTATCCGACCTACCATGGAATGAGTATGGGTATCGACATATCCGCTCCGACCTGCCCATTATCATTCCTATTTCAATTTACAAAGTTTCCTGTGCTATTAAACTAAACCAATTTAATTGTGAAAGTGGTAACAAGATGATACATGATAAAATAATTTAAATTCCGGCTTTGTCTCTTCCTATGCTCTGTACTGCTCCATTTCACACTTGACGATGAGAAATAATGGAACCAAATTTCAGTTCCTCCCCACCTCCATTGAGTTATAGCTTGAATATGAGTAAATATATTCCCCTCTCTCTCCAAAACCTTCAAGAGATTTGTCCCAACTTCAGCTTGAATATGAGCAAATATATTCCCCTCTCTCCAAAACCTTCAAGAGATTTGTCCCAACTTCATACATGTTTTTTCTCTCTGTTCTTGGTTCCAGTTTCAAAAAAGAGGGTAAGCATATTGTGACTTTGTTAAAACTCCAAATCGTGATAATTTGAAGTCTGTCACAAAGGTCGATCGAGCACTTTCACAGGTCGACCTAATTCAAGAGTAGATGCGTACATCAAAAGATAGTCATAGCTATCTCTAATACGACATATGGAGGTTGATCGGATCACCAAGTTTGGATGTTTCGTTGAACAACTCGATCGATTTCAAAGCGCGATGCCTACACCAACAGTGTTAATCGAAACGGAAATATCGAAACAGAAATGAAAAGTGACACACAGAGTTATTTGGTTTCCTCGTTCAGGATGAACGAGACTAGTCCACGACCGAAACTATTTGTATCTCTTATTCAGCTTAGCTTCTATAGGTTCCATTACATCGATATATATATATATATATATATATATACAAACTAGGGTGAAAACCCTAGACTAAACTCCGCTAGCCCTAGGAAACCCATACTGTCGAGATATGGATGGGCTGAGGCCCAATTACACTCAACAGTCTCCCCCAAATTGTTGAGGATCTCTCATCATCAATTTGCGAGAAAGAAAGAAATGGCGTTCAGCCAAGAAAAACTTGGTGAGAAGGTTGGCAATCTGGTCCTCTGATGTGATGAATACCATCACGAACCAAGTCTCGAATGTAATGAAGATGAACCTCAATGTGCTTCGTACGAATATGAAGTACTGGGTTAGCCGCAATCTGAATAGCACTAGTTTTATCAACATGTAGCTGGAGAGGAAGAGCACAATCCACTCCTAAATCCCCAAGTAAGCGACGAAGCCACACAAGTTCCGATGCAACGTCGGACATAGCACGATATTCCGTCTCGGTGGAAGATTTTGAAACCCGGTCTTGTTTCTTACACCGCCAGGAGACAAAAGACTCTCCCAAGCGAATGCACCAACCCGTAGTGGAACGACGAGTATCGACACAACCTGCATAGTCAGAGTCGGAGAATGCCTGCAAAACAAGCGAGCCAGACGAGGGAAGAAACATACCAAGCTCTCGAGTCCCCTTCAAGTAACGGAGAATGCGATGGAAAGCAGCTAAGTGACCAGTACGAGGAGCCGACATAAACTGGCTGGCGATCTGGACTCCATATGCGATGTCAGGGTGAGTCGATGTTAAGTATATCAAAATGCCAACAACACTCCTGTAGTGCTTGCCCCCATCCGATAAAGGCTCCCCAGACTCACGACCAAGCTTTAAACCAAGCTCCATAGGTGTAGAAACTGAAGTACAGTCAATAAAGCGAGCTGTCTCCAATAAACCATCTATATATTTTCCCTGGCTCAATAAAACTCCAGCCTTACTGCGCGTCACCTCCAGCCCAAAAAAATATGAGACAAACCCGAGTTCCTTAAGACTAAAAGAATCATGAAGACCTTTACTAAGGGCCTCAATCCCCATAGCATCATCACCAGTAACAATCATATCATGTCATATAACAAGAGAACCACAAGACCCCTGGGCGTTCGATAGGTAAACATCGATGGGTCGTTAAGACTCTGCTCGAATCCCAGATTAGTGTTAGTAGAGTGAAATTTATTGAACTAGGCACGGGGATCTTGTTTCAAGCCATAGAGAGAGCGGCGATGTAGACAAACCTGATCAGAGTTACCATGAGCGTACCCAAGAGGCGACTCCATGTACAGAGTTTCTTTGAGCTCCCCATGCAAGAAGACATTCTTAACATCGAGCTGAAAAAGGGGCCATCCACGAAGGGAAGCAACCGCCAGCAGAGTATGAATAGTAACCATCTTTGCCACTGGAGCAAAAGTCTACTCAAAATCAATCCCATATTCCTGACAGAAGTCCTGGGCCACCACCCTGCCTTTGAACTGCTCAAGAGTACCATCCGGATGAACCTTAATAGCATACACCCATCTAGAGCCAATAACCGGAATAGAGGGCTGGGGACGAGGAACCATGTCCCACGTGTGATTAGCATGGAGTGCGTTAATCTCCTCTGTCATAGCATTATCCCATTCAAGATGTCCCTTAGCCTGTGAATAACGAGTAGGAACAGGAATAGGATCAACTATGTAGGCCAAGTAATCCATCCATATACCGAGCAGGAGGAACACCCTTAGTTGAACGGAGTGAGCGACGAGGGGGCTCCAGTGGAGGTGGAGATGGCGATGAGACATCAGTTGATGAAGAACTTGGATAGGACGAGCAGGGAGAAGATGGTGTTGTCAAGGGAGGGGGGTCGGGGGGTAGCCCATCGGTGGGGAGATCAATAAACCCATCATCGTCATCATCATCATCATTCGGAAAGGAGGGTGGAGCAAGGGATAGCTCAAATAAGGGTGAATTGGAACCAAACAAGGAAGAATGACACATCAGATTTTCAAGAAACACGACATGATAGGCAATACGAACACGACGTGCAGCAGGATCATAGCACATATAGCCCTTATGGATGTCACTATAGCCAAGAAAACAACAACGAGCTATCTTCGAGGTAAGTTTAGTACGTTCAGATCGAGGAAGAACAACAAAACAGACACACCCAAAGACACGAAGACGGGAATATGGTGGTGGTTTTGAAAGAGACGGAAGAAAGGACTGATATTATCGAGGACAGGATTCATCAGATTAATACGCCCCTGGGGGGTGTATATTATCAAAGTCACACAGCTAACGACTCAATCGAAAAATCGATTGAGCTCGAATCAAGAACAAAGCGTTCTTAATACGAACTTGGATAAAACGAAACCAAAAGGACGATTCCACACCTGGGGAATGCTCGATTGGTATAGAATGGTAGTTGCTCAACCATGATTGAAGTGACTATTCAATCGATACAGAAGCTCAGCAATTTTGGAATCCACCAAACCCAAAACAAGTTCGCTAACTTGAACAAACCAAACGGTTTCTTTTCGATTAATCAACTCTTCTTTACAACGTGAATTGGAAAGGTATTTAAAGACATTAAACCCTAATACAACCCTACATGAACAAGGAAACTAATTAGAACAGGAAAAGGCTAAAGAATTCGTGTAAAACAAGGTAACTTGCAAGCCAAGAAACTGACTTAAAACACAAGCAAGTCTGCCTAGGAAAACAGGCTTCATAGCATCTTTGAGCCCTTCGAAAATGGTCTTCTAGGTTTATTCAAACTCAACCAATTCCTTTCCTCTGTAGAAGAAAATTCCCTCTTTCACCTCCAACTTGAAACAGCTCGAGATCATTCTCTAAACTCCAGATATAGGCCTTCAAAGTTGGTATCTCAACACAGTTTTCTACCTTAGTCATTTTCTGACAGTTTTCCAGTTTTGAGGTAGCAACTTTGAGGCCTTGGAAAATAACCTTAATGACATCATCTGGATCCACAAAGCATACCAGTAGGAAGATGGAAACTTTATCTGCAAAACAAAACCTTAAAATTTAATTTCCACCAAGCCAATTGAGAGAACCACACCTCCAAAGTATGTACCCTGAACACGGATTTTGACTTGCCAAATTATGCCCTTCTTCTTCCCAACTTCGATAGCTTCTTCGTCAAGTAATTTAATCGTGTCTAGATGACCGTTTGGGATCATATCATTGATAGTTGATGAGGCGAATAGCAGTAGCAATAGTCTCAGGCCAAAAAGAAGAGGGACCATACGAAGAGAGCAAGAGAGCACGAGTGACCTCGAGAACATGAAGATTTTTTCTTTCTACCAACCCATTTTGTTGGGAGACATCAGAACAAGATTTTTTAGACAGAATACCAAGGGACCGATAAAGATTTAACAAGGGACCAGAACAAAACTACCCTCTAGGATCATATCAGACTACACGAACAGTTTTACCAAATTGAGTTTTGATCATGGTAAGGAATTCTGTAGCAACAGCCAAGAGGTCAGATTTGAGGCGAAGAAAATATACCCATGTGTATCGAGTAGCATGGTCAATAAAGAGCGCAAAATACTTATATCCAAGTTGGGAAATGGTAGGGCTAGGTCCCCAAAGATCAGTATGGATCAAATCAAAGGGTTCAGAAATAGTAGTTTGACTGGACGGAAAAGAAATGCTCGTAGTCTTTGCCTCAATGCAACTGGTACAAGAAAAATCCGAGGAACACTGAACACGAGTATTTTGACCAAATAACTGTTGCTTAAACATAGTAGTGAGTCTACTAGAATTAGGATGACCTAATCTAGCATGCCATAACCAAAAAGTTTTATTAGGGAGACTCGAAAAAACAGTAGGAAAAAGGTATGAGGCTGGAAGTTGGATGATGATGCGGATGATGATGGTGGACGCAATTGCTCCAGGTAAAATAAGTGTTCCTTCTTACTACCCCTGCCGATCTCTCTCCCGGTCGCCGGATCCTGTACAACATAGCCAGAGGGTGCAAACGTAACACGATAGAACGAAATTTTTTAGCTTGAGCTATACTAAGAATAAGTTTCGAAGTCGAATTTGCGATAAGTTTTCTAATGATTGTTTAGTGCGATACATTGAAATGGACTTGCTTAAGAGTGCAGAAAATTAATGTATTTTGCATTTTTTTTAAATATGAAAACTCATCATGAGGGTTTATGCAAACAACAATTCTGTTAATTAGTCGGTTATTTGTTGATTAATAAATGAATTATTTGAATACTATTAATTTTAATTATATTCGATAAGTTTCAAATCCTGCGTATGACAATGAACAATCCCTTCACTATTCACGGCTCTAACTAAGCTAGAGATTAGAATGCATGAATTAAAGGGAAAGATTTCATATTTTAAATAGGGATTAGGGTTTAGTACTATTAATAAAAGGGTAGTCCTTATATCCCTATCGTCGTCGAGTCCTCACCCAGATATATGTTTTCCCAAAAGGCAGCAAATAGATATTGGTTCAATCAGGAGGATGATCGGGACATCAATGGCGGCAGACGCTCCCATCAGCAAACTGGGGGACGATCTCGTCAAAGAAATTCTGATTCGCAGCTTCCCGAATCCTAGATCCGCCTGCCGCAGCAAACCAGTATGCAAGCGATGGAACTCCCTCATCTCCCACGCCCGCTCCAACCGCCGTTGCGGTTTTGTGTCTCACCATCGGAGCAACAACGACGGCCAGCCACCCCTGCTCCTCTGCAAGGACAATCCCCTGCCTTCGCTCATAAGCTTCCTCCCCGTACCCGACGAATTCCGATCCAGCTTCGTCGTTTGGGATTCTTTCAAGGACTTGATTTTGTGCGGGTTTAAGAATTCGGTGTGAGACTACAATCACGAAAGGGCCAGATCGCTCTTGATCTGCAATCCGTTTTCGAGACAATGGGTCACCCTTCCTCTGGAGCCCGAAACGAAGACCTTAACGAAAGGCAGCGAAATTGATCTTTCGAGAATTTCGAGTTGGATCTGGACAATGACCAAGTATTTATGTATTCCAACTATCGATTTCGCGTTCTGGTTCGAGTTAGAGCTAAACGTGTTTTGTTCCGAGTCCGGAGAATGGTATACCATAGTAATGAATCGTTGTATTCAACCTAAGGCGACGTCTTTGTACGAAAATTTGTATTGGATGAGATGCGGTAGAGAAATTTGGAGGTTTGATCCTTCCCGTCCAAAATTACGTCCAATAACGATGAGCTTCGACGGCAGGATGGATGCAGTTTCCCATTTTTCGACCTCACAGGGTGTTCCATATAGTTGAACGTGATGAAAGACCCAGATATGATGAGCCTCACGATGGTGTTTTCGTAACGGCGGCGGCGTGCCTGAAGTTGAGAGACTGGAATTTGTTTCTGTGCTCGCTCAGCATATGGATCAGCCGAAGATTATGTTCCTGCAATGTTATTGCAAACCCGCCAGGATTATTATTCGGGGCATCCCATTTTCGAAGACATCAAAGAGACTCTTGTTTTTTTCGTGCAATTTGAGGACGGAGGAATTGGAGATCGTTGCTGATCAGAGACGATGTACTTTTCTTGGGCGTTGGATGGTGTTGCACCTTGGACCACTTGTTTCGGGTCGAAAGAAACGAGTTTCGGGTCGAAAGGAGCATGTTTGGGTTGAAGTGTGTTGGAGGAGCAAAATACCCGGCCATGGGCAGTAATACCCGGTCGGGTATTAATTGGAGCAGATAGGGGAAAACTTGTTTCGGGCGTCTGAGAAACAGAAGGGGGCCCGGGCAGTAATCATAAATCCCTGGTCGGGTATTCTTGACCCGGACCGGGATTAACCCCTGCCCCGACGATGCGTTTTGGGAATACCCGGTCTCCACCCAAAATACCCGACTGGGTATTCAGGCCGGGGATCGCGACAGACAGCCTCTTAAGGGAAAAGAAGGGCAAAAGTGAAGGGTTCGGAGTTTTAGAGAGACAAAGCGTATACCTAGAGAGAGAAAGTTACGAACCTGATTCTGCAAGTGTCTTTGATCTATCTCCTTCACCATTGGAGTCCGGCTTGAGCTTGGAGGAGCTGATTGAGTGCCTGAAGCAGATTGTCATCCTTCACAATATGGTTTCCGCATCTGAGCTAGATTTTCCATCTCTCTCTATGGAGTAACTTTCTTATTCACCTAGGTATGAAGAACCCTAGATTTGTATGTTATGTCTGATTGTATGAACCCAAGTACAGATTCAGTGATATGATTATGTTCAATTGAGGTTTGATTTGTTGAATGGCATAAATCCTGATCAAATTCCTGTTGTTTCTGCTTTAACCTAGAAAGAGAATATATGCCTAGCTTGATAGAGCGCCCTTGATTGAAGGTAGTGAATTGACGACTTTAGTCGAGGAGTCAATTCACTATTCTGTACCGAATTTACTTCGGTAGTGGAGGTTTGGTTCGTTAGGGCCTCAATCTGTTTACTCCAGTGGAGGTTACTCGCCCGATGGGGACTCAGATTGAGAGGGTCTGGAGACCTTTAGTCGAGACTGCAGACTGTTTAAGAACCTCCCGCAATATAACTATCATTGAACTTGAACTTGGTAAATTACAATCTGCTTAACTGCAGTCTAGGGAGGAACCATATCCGGGTGACCTCTCTCGACTTGAAAACAACTTTTTAACTGCATTGCTTGTTTGCTTGTTTGGACCTTCACTAAAGTTTCACTGCTAAATAATAAGAACTCACGGAGTAGTCATCACACTTAGGACCCGGGTTGACATTAAAACCCAAACCCGCTATCATACGCTTTAGGAGGTGGTTACACTTGGCCATTTTCTAGAGTGACGGTAGGAGCGAGTCAAGTTTTTGGCGCCGTTGCCGGGGACGGCTAGGTTGTTGAAGAAACGTGGTTTTTGTTAATTTAGCTTTTCTTTTTCGCATTGTTTGTTTGCTTTGTCACACTTGTGCCTTCAAGGGTTTGCTGTTTGACTATGTGCAGGTACTCAGGATTTTTCTGGCAGTGTCCCCATCACAGTTTTAGTGATGCATTCTCTCTCCGGAAAGCAGAGGGTGATTGAGTCTCTATGCCCAGGAGGGGATATTCTCACTAAGACTCCACCCGAACTGAACCAGATGATCAGTACCTTGGCTGCCAGAGATAATTCTTGGGGGTACAGCACTAGAGGCAGGAATTCCCGGGATCGTGGTGTGCACGCCATGGAGGCTAGGTCCGGGCTAGAGTGGGAGGTGGCCAAGTTAGTGTAGACATTGAAGCAGCCCAACAGTCTTATTCCGGGCAGAGGTTTGGGCGGACCTCCAGTAGCTCAATGTTAGTGGTGTGAGAGCTCGAACCACCTGGTGGAAGACTGTCAGGCTATGCGGGAGTCCTCTACACCAGAGTAGCAGTTGGACTTCATCGCCAATGCTCGACGCCTCGATCCTTACAGTGGCACCTATAATGAATGTTGGCGCCAGCATCCCAACTTCTTCTGGAATACCAGCAACACCACTAAACCACCAGGTTTCCCAGCACCAGCTGGTGGTTTTCAGCAGAGGCAGCCTTTCAAGGCCAGACAGGGGCCAGTTTCTCAGCAGCAGCCTTACCAGCCTAGGCAGGGGCAACCATTTCAGCAGCCCCAACGTCAATATGTCGAGCCAGCAGCAGCTCCAGCTCTAGATAATCAGATGACCGAGATGAAAAACATTTTAGCGGCATTCATGACTACCAGCCAAGCAAATTTCGCCAGGATCGATCAGAACATCTCCTCGTTGGAGGCAAGTCAGAGGAACCAAGGTGCCATATTGTTGGACCTCCAAAATCATATTGGAGGAATAGCCCGCCAGAATAATACCAGGGCACCTGAAACTCTGCCTGCCACCACCATCCCTAATCCTTGCGAGCCTCACCAGCAGCTGGATGCCATCTTTACCAGGAGTGGCAAGCCAACATCGGTTGTACCTGCCTCGGCCAGGCAGGAGGAACCACTGCCTGCTTCAACACTTCCAGCTGACGATGCAAAAGTGAGGGTGGAGAAAGAAGCCCCGACTCCCAAGCCACAGCCAGTGGTTAAGGAGCATGTACCCCAACTTACCTTCCCACTCGCCTACACAAAGACAGACTGGAGACTGAGTTTGCCAAGTTCATGGCAATGTTGAAGCAGGTCAACATCAGCATGCCGTTCGTGGAGGCACTGTCGAAGATGCCCAAGTACGCTAAGTTCATGAAGGATCTCCTCACCAACAAGAAGAAACTTGGGGATCTCTCGACAATGCTGCTGAGCGAGGAGTGTTCTGCCATCTTGCAGAACAAGCTGCCCGAAAAGCGCAAAGACCCAGGGAGTTTTACTATCCCTCTTGTTATTGGCAGCATGCATGTAGGAAAGTCCTTGGCGGACCTAGGCGCTAGCATAAATGTCATGCCATAGAATTTGTTTAAAAAGCTAGACCTAGGTGAACTTAGCCCTACCAGGATGAGCATTCAGTTAGTTGATCGCTCTATTGTGCATCCTAGGGGTATCATAGAGGACCTGCTTGTTAAAGTAGATGCATTCACATATCCTGTTGATTTTGTTATTCTGGATATAAATGAGGACGTGGATGTGCCTTTGATTTTGGGTCGACCATTTCTCGCCACCGCCAAGGCACTGATTGATGTGCATAGTGGTAAACTAATCTTGCGTGTTGGGAATGAACAAGATATTTTTTCTCTGTCTGAGGATGGGAAGCATTCCCATTTACTTGATAAATTAGATCATTGTGATATGTCTGCCGTCGCACCTAGGCATGCTATTTCTCACAAGGTGCACGAGCCTGTCGTGTACCATACTGCATCTCTCATTTTGCAGGATCCCCCTCTCACTCCTTCGCCGCCACTCCCTCCAACCTCACCTCCAAATAAAAAGATCACAGAGGAGTGGCGGCCGAAGCCGCAGGTGGCTAAGCCTGCTCGGAAGAAACGTGGCGACCACTATGAGCTGGTCCCACCTCCTGAACCGCGACCACCTTGGCCATCCGAGTACTCACTCGCTTGCATCCTGCCGGATGGCCAGGTCGAGCTGAAAAATGTTGGTGGTCGCACACGTCGGGTGCATGGCCACCATCTGAAGCGGTACCTCAAGAGCGATGTGGATCCGCTCTTGGAGTCACCTGTTCCTGCACCCCCCTAAGCATCCACCATGGGCGTCTAGCTAAAAGAAGATAAAGAAGCGCTTGTGAGGAGGCAACCCCACCACGGTTTGCATTTATTTCTTTTGTTTTGGGTCGGATTGCAAACTGGTTTGGTTTTGGTTTGTTTTCTTTTGTTTTGGATGATGTACTATTGGGCTGACAACTGGACCTAACGTATTGTGTTTGAGTTCTTTTGTTCCCTTTAGCTGTGCTTTGTCTTGACTGGTCCCCTCTCCAGTCCGCTTCACTCAGACTGGTCCCCTTCCAGTCTCATGCAGTCCGTGCACACCGGTAACTTCGTTCCCCTGATCCTTCCCTCCTCTCCATTGATGGCAATGTCGATCTTAAGTGCGGGGGGGGGGGGGGGGGGGGGGGGATGCTTCTCTTTTGACTGCATTAGATCTGTTTGTGTACTTGGAGCCTAGTCCACTGTCCAAATTCCGATTTGAGGGCTCCAAGTACGTGTTTCCTTGCAAATTGCCTGCTCAGTATGCTTTGAATTGACAGTCTCTATAGTAATGTGCAACCTAGGGAGGTAGTGTAGCACTATGGAGGATGTTGAAGTATAAGATTTTTCCTATCTAGCTCTCTGTTGTGCCAGTTGATTTTGTGAATTAGTGGAGCTAAGACCGTTGAATTCATGTGGTAATGGTGACTCTGTTTGGATTGTGTTATGGACTCGTGTATCGAACAGGGTGCTCATGTGAGAAATAAAAAGCAGTTGGTCCTCCATGTCGAAATCATCAAAATCTTAAACATGGGATAAGCCCAGCGTGTGTGGCACTGTTCATTGCACAAAATCGGGTTTTGGAGGAGATTTTAGTGATCCTTAGTGGGGTACTCCTACAAGGTGAAGCTAAGTTGTCTCTAGTACAAGTAAAACTTCCACCCGTTGAACGGTTTGCCTACTTGAGAATGTGTTTTTAAGGGCACGGATAGAGCTTCCGACCCCCTTTAATTTCATTGACCCTCCACATGAGTTGAGGAAAAGGAGTTAAAAGAAGTACTCTGGCGAGCGCCAGATGTACAGAAATTGCTCTTGCTCGACTAATAAGGGTCGACAGTGCAAAAGAATGCAGTTGGAACCCCCGTTAAGTGAATGGAAAAAAAAACAAGAGAAATGTAAATGAAAGTGCAAAAAAGGGGCTCCAACGGTGAAATGACGTGAAAGAGCACCCCGGTACAACGAGTCCTTGGTTGTGAATGGTGTGAGTCCCTTTATCCATGAATTGACTGTCTTACTTCTACTTCTTCTCATGATCCTGGCTTGAGTCTAGAACTCACATTGAGAGAGATAAGGGACGTCTTAGAAGACCAGTTGACCTCGTAAGCTGCTTTATGATCTAGGAAATCCTCTACCGACGATCGGGGTTGTTTGTTACTATAGAGGTCTGCATAGTTGCATTGGTTTGAGTTAGGTTTGCTTGGGGACAAGCAAACGGTTAAGTGTGGGGGAATTTGGTAGACCATTGATTGCACATGTTTTTACCCCTATTCTTGACCCGTTTGAGATGTTGATTCTCGTGTTTTAAGCCGATTTCACGCTAGGTTGTGCGTTTATGTCATATTTCAGGGCTAAGCGTTGGCATCGATGCGAAGAAACGAGTTTCGGGTCGAAAGGAGCACGTTTGGGTTGAAGTGTGCTGGAGGAGCAAAATACCCGGCCATGGGCAGGAATACCCGGCCGGGTATTAATTGGAGCAGACCGGGGAAAACTTGTTTTGGGAGTCTTAGAAACAGAAGGGGGCCCGGGCAGTAATCATAAATCCCAGGTCGGGTATTCTTGACCCAGACTGGGGATTAACCCCTACCCCCGACGGTGTGTTTTGGGAATACCCGGTCTCCACCCAAAATACCAAACCGGGTATTCAGGCAGGGGATCGCGATAGACAGCCTTTTAAGGGAAAAGAAGGGCAAAAGTGAAGGGTTCGGAGTTTTAGTGAGACAAAGCGTATACCTAGAGAGAGAAAGTGACGAACCTGATTCTGCAAGTGTCTTTGATAGATCTCCATCACCATTGGAGCCCGACTTGAGTTTGGAGAAGAGCTGATTGAGTGCCAGAAGCAGATTCTCATCCTTCATAGTTTGGTTCCGCATCTGAGCTAGATTTCCTGTCTCTCTCTATGGAGTACCTTTCTTATTCACCTGGGTATGAAGAACCCTAGATTTGTATGTTAGGTCTGATTGTATGAACCCAAGTACAGATTCACTGATATGATTATGTTCAATTGATGTTTGATTTGTTGAATGGCATGAATCCTGATCAAATTCCTGTTGTTTCTGCTTTAACCTAGAAAGAGAATATCTGCCTAGGTTGATAGAGCGCCCTTGATTGAAGGTAGTGAATTGAAGACTTTATTCGAGGAGTCAATTCACTATTATGTATCGAATTTACTTCGGTAGTGGAGGTTTGGTTCGTTAGGGCCTCAATCTGTTTACTCCGGTGGAGGTTAGTCGCCCGCTGGGGACTCAGATTGAGAGGGTCTGGAGACCTTTAGTCGAGACTGCAGACTGTTTAAGAACCTCCCGCAGTATAACTATCATTGAACTTGAACTTGGTAAATTACAATCCGGCTTAACTGCAGTCTAGGGGGAACCATATCCGGGTGACCTCTCTCGACTTGAAAACAACTTTTTAACTGCTTTGCTTGTTTGGACATTCACTAAAGTTTCACTGATAAATAATAAGAACTCACGGAGTAGTCATCACACTTAGGACGAAGGTTGACATTAAAACCCAAACCCGCTATACTATGTTTTAGGAGGTGGTTACACTTGACCATTTTCTAGAGTGACGGTAGGAGCGATTCACCGATTCTGGATATGAGAAATTGCTCGGCATGTATAATGAAAGTTGCAGTGACTTGATTCAGGGCAGACAGTCAACTTAGGAGTTAATAAAATCTATGTAATGTGACAAATAGTTGTATTTTATGTTGTTTTTTTTTTATATTATTGACTAGGTTGTAAGTGCTCCGCACAGCGGATGAGTGATTAGTGATTTACAGTAGTAACCCTTCTCGATGAGTACCATGCATTTGGCGGCCGTGAAATTAAGATATCAATATTCATTCGTTATAATAGCATAATTTATCGATACACACTGGATTAAGCAATATTTCACTGTGTGTAAGAGTCCAAATCAGAAGTCTCTTATAGACCATACAAAAATAAATAGGTTGATCTATAAGAGCATGAAACTATACGATTTACTTCTATACAACTTAGAACATTTTCCCCGTCATTGGCAGGTTATACAACTCAAAAAATAATTACCAAGTTGTGCATAAGTCGAATAATAATATGAAGTTCTATAAGTGACAATGTATATTCATTTCAATTTTGTGATCCCCAACTAAGAACCTTGAAAAAGTAAAAACAAAAAAAAGAATTCAAGTTGCAGACCATGAAGGGAAGGGGAATAGATCCGGTGAGTAACCCCATGCATAACCCAATAAGATTCTGCCACATCAGCGCCTCCTTCTCTCTCCTGGAAAAATCATTAATTTTCTTTCCCTTAATCTTTAACGGACGATTTCTCACTCGTTTTAACTCGGAATTTAATTTTTTTGCACAGTTAGATCAGATTAATTGTGTTCTTCAAAATGATATCAACTTTGATATTTTTTGGAACAAAAAAAATTTCCTAATTATTACCAGACTATACCATATGGTATTGACTGGTATTAAATAACAGCATACCATATGGTATGAAAATACCAGTCAATACCATATGTTGTTATTTAATACCAGTCAATACCATATGATATTAAATAACAGCATACCATATGGTATGAAAAATACCACCTCATATCAGGGTGGTATAGTATGGTATGGAGTTGATAACGAGAGGTTTGAAATTTTTTCCCCCATAAAATTTTGAAATCCAATAGATCATGATTAAATCGTTCCTTTTGTGCAAAAATTTCCGAAAATGACTAAACAACGAAGGAGATACCATATGGTATGGAATTGGTAACGAGAGGGATGAAATTTTTTTTCTCAAAAAATATTGAAAATGGATATCATTTTCTAGAGCACAACGAACTCGTTCCATCTGTGTAAAAAAAAATTGAAATCCGAGTTAGAATGAAGAAGATATGATCCAATTAAGAAAACTAGGGAAAATAAATTCCTTTAATTCTCCACCCTTAGATCTGCAGTCACTTAAAAGAAGAGTCCAGATTTGGTTACTCATTGTTACTCACCCTATCTTGAGCCGTCTAGGCGTCAACCTTGGCAACTTCTTTGTTTTTTTTATGGTAACCTGAGCTTTCCATTAATCAATCTGTGTTGTTACATCATCGAGCTATAATTGATCAATCAAACAAACTGGTGGCCTATCAAGCCAAACTATTCGCTCCCCCCAATTCGTCAATGCTCTAGCCATAATATGGGCTGCACCAGTCGCTTCTCTAGGAATATGCCGACAAGAACCATTCCCCTGTTGCAATTTCCGCCATATACTGCGGCACACCACACCAACTTTAGTCAAGTCACGAGCGGGGTGCTGGACCTTCGAGATCACTGCCAGGCTATCACTCTCCAATATCAGGGTGCCACTGGGGATGCTGGGTAGCAACTGCATTCCCATTTCTGCCGCCATAGCCTCAGCCATATCCACACTATATTCCCCTTGCATTCGCTTTGCTGCGGCAAGAACAAACGTCCCATTGTTGTCTCTTACTACAACACCCAGACCAACTCCTCCCCCATCAAGCATAGCCACGTCGGAGGTGACCGAGAATCTTCCCGGTCGAAGTTTTTGCCATCGCTTCGCACCTGGCATTCTCTCCTCGGGTTGCTCCACACCCTGGTGTTGTCAGTAGTCCTCGAGGTAGTACTTAGCTCGGGGCACAATATCATTCTCAGCTAGTTTTTGACCGTTCCAATATTGTGTGTTTCGTTCCTTCCACAAGAACCAGAGTAACACACTCCAACCTTCCACTTCTTCTTTTTCTTTCGAGTTCAGTACTGTTGTTACCCATTCTAGACAGTCACCCGAACCTCTTGCCTCAAAACAATCAACAAAAGAGGATGTCCGCCAGATTCTGGAACCCCATTCACATTCGCTAAACATATGAACTTATGTCTCCTTCTGGTTGCAGAAAACGCATTTATCACCCCATCTCAGATTGCGGCTCGCGACATGGTCACCCGTTGGTAGCGCATCTCTCGTGAACCGCCACAAGAATTGCTTGACTTTTGGAGGGATTTGTAAAGACCATAGTTTCTTCCACAATTCTGGGCTGCCCACAACAGTAACCCCCGCTTCCTCCTTAAAGTGTAGCAACCATTGTTTGTAACCGTCCTTTACTATGTAAACCCCATCTTTAGAACTACTCCACACTTGCACATCCATCTCTCCATCCCCTCGCAAAGGTATTTGGCAAATAGCTTGGGCTACGTCAGTTGGGAAGCAGGCTGCAAGTAGGTTATGATCCCAAACTTCATCTTCCTCCTACACAAGATCACGTACCACCGCATCCACCGGCAGCCCCACCGGGGCAGATGGTACATAGTACTTTTCAATACCTGGAACCCACCTATCCCCCAGATACGCACCATAGATCCATTGCCAATTCTCCAACGAAGACCACTAACAAGAAAATCTTGAGCTGACATGATGCTACGCCAGATATAACTCGGTCGGTAGCCTAGGTGAGCTTCCAGAACATTAGAGTGCTTATGGTACTTGGCCTTAAGGATTCGTGCAGCTAATTAGTCCGGTTTTTTGTAGAGGTTCCACAGCTGTTTCGCTAGCATGGCTGTATTGAAATCTCTTAGCTCCCGGAAACCCATCCCACCTTCTTCCTTTGGGCATGCCATCTCCTCACGCTTCACGCAGTGAGCACGACATTCCGAGCCGCGTTGACCCCACCAAAAATTGTAAATATGCCTCTGGATCTCCTCCAACTCCCCTTCAGGGATCCGAAAAACTATCATCGCATACGAGAGCTGGGCTAGTGCGACAGACTTAATAAGTACCTCTCTAGCCGCTGATGACAACGTCTTCTCCTTCCAACCGTTAAGTTTCTTCCGCACTCTTTCCTTCAGCTCCATAAGCATCTCTTTTTTCGACCTCCCCGCCACTGTCGCAAGCCCGAGATATTTATCATGCTTCTCCACTCTCTTCATTCCAAGGATCCCGCTAGTCAATAACTAATTATGCATGGTCACATTTTTACTAAACGAAACAGTCGATTTGAAGAAGTTAACCATCTGTCCCGATTCCTTTTCATAATCCAATAATATTTTCTTCAATTCTTGGCTTTCATGTGTAGTTGCCCGGGTAAATAATGGTTGTTAGTTTCTACTCTAATTCTATTAAAATTATTAAGCTATATAATGTTGCTTGTGCTAGAGCCCAATACACCAGGCCCACCTAATTATCATTCCCACCCTCATTTAGCGAAAAGTAACTTTGAGTTTGGTTTATATATAGTAATTTTAGGTTCCAAGATTTTAAAAATCTCTTAAAACCGAAGATATACAAGCTCTAGCGAGTGTAGAGATTCTATACATTGATTTATGAAATTGATTTTTCTCATCACTGTCCTATGGTTTATTGTACCAAATACCATTATCAACCAGATTAGCTTTGTTCTCTACCATTGACCAAGTTATTTTTACTATTATTAATTATTTGAAATCATAATTAGCTTATAATCATATATTGGTTTTATCGATGAAGCGAAAAGATCATAAATTATAGAGGTAACATATTAAACAACTCGTTAGATGGCACAATAATCTCAATCTTATTATAATAAATAAGGCTTAGTACCAAGAAATGGCCTATAGTTTAGGGTTCGTATCAATTATATCTTATGTTTTCGACCTGTCAACTGTGTCCCGATGTTTAGTTTTTATTGACTTTACCGTTAATGATCCACAATCAATATGTTGGTCGATGTAGTGTCGTCTGACGTGGATTAAATTGCCATGTCACCTAAAAAGTGAAATAAAAAACTAAGAAAATAAAAAATAGCCAAGATGTATAACCCAGCCCTAACTCTCTCTCTCTCTCTCTCTTCTCATATTTGTTGTGACAAATAATTATGACGAAGTTACAATTTGTCACAACAAAATAGAGTAGGTTATAATGACAATGTTTGTGTTTGTTACATTAAATGGTTTGCTGATTTTTGTCACCATAGTCATTATTTGTTATAGTGTGAGTTACTTCATCAATTTGGGCGACACACCAATTTTGTGGTGTACTAATAGGTAAGAGGTTGTTGCTCGGTCTTCTGTTGAAGTTGCATATATGGCAAACCCAGTTAATGAAGTTCTTTGCCTCCGATTGTTGTTGCAAACTTTAGGTTTTTCAGACTGATTTGACTACCTCATCATTGCGACAGTCATTACTACACTTCATCTCGCATATGGTCCATTTTTTTTCATGAGCTACCCAAGCATGTTTCATGAGCTACTCTTCATTCCATGCTTTAGTTCTTACACATTTTGGAAATCAAAATTAAGACAATCAAATTTGATAGAGTTTCCCGTGAGAGATTTGTACCAAATCCACGATATCATTCATGACATTCTTTGTAATAGAATAATCCATGGTGTTGATGTGACTTGAATCGGACTATTAGCCGCTACGACTAAAATAGTGGGGGTCTCGCTGACTGATCAACGAGTGGGGTTCAGGGGCAACGTCCCCGACCCGTGGTGTATGGGCTCAATGTTATTTGGGTTCGGGTTATGGGCCTGGTCTGTAACCGTTTCCTTTTCCAGATTAGATTAGGTTTAGACACACATGGAGAAGTATAAATACTTCTCATCTCCTCAGTAATCTGTAATCTCCTCGATATAGTGAAACCGGCTCTCTCTCGCCCGTGGACTAGCTAACACACATCGTGTTAGTGAACCACGTAAATCGTGTGTTGTGTTTTCGATTCTCGCTTTCGTATTCTTGCTTTCTCAACTCTGGCAATTTCCTGATCCGTAGCAGCACATTTATAACACATGGGTTATGATAGTGGTGGAATGTCGCTAACTGGTTCATTAAAATTTACATATGGTCAATATGTGGAGTATTGGGACCTTCCTTATTTTCCATACAACATACTTGATAGTTGACACATTAACTTTGACTTTCCACATACATCACTCACAATTATATAACAAATAATACTTTCTATCTAGGGATGACAATCAGTTCGGTTCGATTATAATCAGAACCATTTAGCTAGTTGGTTATCAATTAACTATTAAGCACTTTGTGCATTTTTTGTAGATTTTTTTCCTCCATACGTATGTGTTTTTTTAGTTGTTATCATTGAATAAAAACAATTTAACATTGTATCAATCCATAATCAACTCAATCCAACACAAGTACACAATAACACTATTCTACCATCAAATTTGATAAGAAATAGACCAGAATAAGAGATACAATAACAATTACTCAATTCATAAACCCTACCAAATTAGACGGAAGGTCAAATGATACTGATTGTTATCGAGCTAATGTGCACAAATTCAACTTTCTACTCTGCTCCTCTAATATCCTTCCTTGAATTTATTTTCATTTGAACATAAGTCACTATTACAACTAGGGTACGCAATGAATCTTGTAGGCCTTCAAACATCTCATCAATTTTTTTTTTTTTGCCTATTCATGCGCCTCATTGAGACATATTATGTTTGACCCTAACTAATTGTAATCGATTAGTTGGTTAACCGTCTAACCGCCGATTACTAATTAGCTAAAATTTTGTATTGGGAACCAACCGTTTACTACCTAAGAAATTATATATGCTAACTTGTTTACCCACACTACTTTTATCGAAGCTAGCTAATCATGATTAATGATTCATAAAAAAATTCCTATTATCGCAGACAAAATCGAATATCTAATAGAATGCATGAACTAAAGGGGAAGATCCATATACTTGGGGGAAAAGGAAAAGGTTGAAAATTATCCACCACGAAAGAAAGTTTATTTTAAGTAGGGTTTTAGGACTATAAATAAAGAGGGTTAGTCCTCCTTACTCCCACGACAGCAGATAGATACTGGTTCAATCATAAGGATCTGAACATCAATGGCGGCAGACGCTCCCATCAGCAAACTGGGAGACGATCTCGTGGAAGAAATTCTGATTCGCAGCTTCCTGAATCCCAGATCCGTCTGCCGGAGCAAACTAGTATGCAAGCGATGGAACTCACTCATCTCCCACATTGGCTACAACCTACGTTTCATTTCTCACCACCGGAGCAGGAACGACGGCCAGCCACCAGCAAGGACGACCCCCTGCCTTCACTCCTAAGCTTCCTCCCCGTCCCCGACGAATTCCGATCCAGCTTTGTCGTTTGGGATTCCTTCAAGGACTTGATTTTGTGCGGGTTTCAGAATTCGGTGTGGGACTACCATCACGAAAGGGCCAGATCGCTCTTGATCTGCACTCCGTTTATGAAGCAATGGGTCGCCCTTCCTCTAGAGCTCGAAACGCCAGGGTACAGGTCCTACGAAACGAAGGAAGCAAAATTGATCTGTCGAAGAGTTCGCAACGTTAATAGTTTGGATCTGGGGGATGGCCAAGTATTTAGGTACCCCGACTATCGATTTCACGTTCTGGTTCGATACGAAGGAGATCCGGTGTATGAATGGGGTTCAGAACTGCACGTGTTTTGTTCCGAGTCCGGAGAATGGTCGACAAACATTACGGAACTTCTTATTCAACCTAACGCAACGTCTTTGGATGGTAAATTGTATTGGATCAACAACGGTAGAGAAATTGAGAGGTCTGATCCTTTCCGCCAAAATAAAAATCCAATCACTATGCGTAATATGGAATTCGTTGGCAGGCGACATCAGGTTTCCCAATTCGTTGGAACACGATCAACAGTACGGTGAGGCCGGTGACGACGATGTTTTCATGGTTTGGAGGTGGGAAGGAGGCCTCAAAACATGGATTCTGTGCTATGAAGCTTCGTTGGAGAAGCTAAAGCGCAACGACGGCGGGCTTGGAATTGAGAAGCTACAAATCGTTTCTGTGCTCGCTCAGCATTCGGAGCATCCAGAGATTTTGTTCCTGGAATGTTATTGCGAACCCACGAATTTCAAGGCCTAAGTTCAGGTCCTTAAATCCTCTTTTTTTTTTCAGGAGAATCTTAAAGAGTTGTGATTGGCTGATTCAATTTTAGATAGTTATTGGGGAGTTATTAGTTAAATAGTTATTAGGGTCATTAAGGGAATTACAATTAAATTAAAAACCGTAACCTTATGGTATATATACCCTAGACGAAATTTTTCTCTCCACAAATTCATCATTGTCTCTCGTTTCCGTCATGCAAGTTTCTCTGGCCCGACGTTTGACACTGTCTTTGTCCCGACCGTCGTTTGTCCGTCTTCATTTCGTTGAAGACAGTCGCTTGCCGACTTATGTTGGTCTTCCAGCATCGCACTCTCGTTCCCGCCATCGTGAAGCACCGCCCGTCCCCTTCGCTCAACAGCTGCCACCTACGTCCATCACTCCTCAGCTTCCGTCGGAGCGATGCGTCTCGTAATATCGACTTCTTGTGTCACTAGCATTGAAGTCGTTCCCGTTCGGTGTCTGTTCAGTCCCCCGCCATTGCTCCCTACGCTCCCCTTGGCGACGTTCAAGGTAATCTCCATGTCCATATTTTATCAACAAGTTTAACCGGCGTCGTAGCTATTAGTAACATTTCTTTACCTTTTATTGACGTTACTGATTATTAACGTTTCAACACAACCTTATTAATGTTTCTTTTGCAGTTATTAGCGTTTCACTGATACATTATTAATATGTAACACGACGTTATTAGTAACGTGCTCGTCATTAACGTTTCTTTACCAATTGTTAATATTTAACACATGCACTATCAACAAGTCCAAATTGATCCTTTTTGTGGCGCTATTTCCATGAAAGTGCTTTTTCCATTTTGATGATTATGATCCTTTGTTATGACTCTTCTTTCTAACATTAGCATAGTGGAAATTGTTTCTTGGTAGTCGAAATTGATTCACTGATAAAGTTTATTAGAAATTTAGGTTGCACTGATTTATTATTTTTTAGGGCGATGGTCAATGTTTTTTTACTTTTAATAATTTTAGCTTATATTTGTACCTTTCTCATCACGCATTATTAACAAACTTGTATGTTATTGAGCAATTTTTTCTTAAGACCAGTACAAAACCATTATAAAAAATTACTACATTATCAACAATGTTAGTTATGTTTGTGACTTTGTGAAATGGCATTATGAATGTTTCGTTTTAGTTATTAACATTTTATAGTTGTATTTCTCCTTGTTCACTCTTGGGTTATCAATATATTTATATGCAATTTGTAATTTTTGAAAGTGTTCCACCCATTATTAATATTTTCAATTTATGTTCATCATTAACGTTTCTTCACCCATTATTAATATTTTGAACGTGATTATCAACATTTTTAATTGTGTTCTACTAGTAATCTGCCGGTTGAATTAACGTGTACTATTATCAATTTGTGTTCATCATCAACTGTTTCTTCACCCATTATTAATATTTTCAATGTCATTGGCAACATTTTTAATCGTGTGCTATTATTAAACTATCGGCTTGATTAACATGGACTATTATCAATCTATGTTCATTATTAACATTTTTTTACCCATTGTTAATATTATTCACTGCACTATCAACAATTTTACTATGCTTCAGGAGGAGAGATTGGAGACGCCGAGGTTAACCCTGAAGGATTTGTTGCTGATGAGTGATGAGCCATTGGTTCATATTACTCTCATTATCAATTGCAATGTCCACGACTGGTACAGAGTAACAGAGCTATCATCATTCGGAGACTCATGTACCCAATTTCTACTTTAACTATGAAGACTCAAAAATACAAAAGATCAAGACGCATGAATTTTTTTTTATTTTTCCTCTTTCCATACATGCAAAACAAACAACTCAATATCCATCCCCACAATATCCACTGCAATTTTACCTTGACTTCCCGCCAATTTGTTACCAACATTTTGCCCCTTGAAGTTTTCATCTCAAGTTATTTCATTCAAATGTGCAGTGTTGAGTATATATCAATATCAACAACGTTATTAACAGTTTATAACATCATCAAACAATATTATTAATCATTATTAACCTACCACTGCACTATTATTAACAATATCATCGGAGTCATTAATAAGTAACTAACAAGCTGTGTCAGTATTCATGTTCTTACCCGACCACGAAATTTTATTAATATTTTTATTTGTGTCAATATTCTCGACACCATTATCAACAAACTAAAGTTACAATTTTGATAATATTCAACCACGTCGTCAACCAATATTATTAACTGACAATGCTATTATTATTAATAATATTATGGTGATTATTAACAGACGACTATATCGCTATGACAAGCAGCAGAATCTTCAATTTGAGGTTTTTCCGTAACGTTATTAACAAGTTAACGTTATAATTTTAATAATATTCAACCACATTGTCAACCAATATAATTATTGCGGTGGATCGCGAGTTGGATGACCCTCTCGATACTTGGTGCAACCACCACTCATCTCTCAACGCACATACTAGAGCGGTTGGATCGTTGCTTGGGATCGCAGTTTGTAGTCCTTCCTTGGCCAACAATCAAAGTTTTGCATTTATCCGATACAACCTAGCTCTAATCATCGTATGCTAACTCGAACCACTTCTTCCTCGACATAAGCTTTCTTTCTTCTTCGATTCTCGTTGGGCTGTCAATCCGGAGGCTCAAGTTTTGGTTTCTCAAATTTGAACTTTTTAATAATGGAGAGCTCTCGATAGGTCAAGCTGTTCTTTCGGCTTAAAAATTTTCTACTCCTGTTGGTTGGTTTGTTGGGCCTCTGCAAGGACATCAAATTGTGCTTGTCTAATTCATTACTGGAAGGTGTTTTATTGAACGAGTCAAGCTCACTACTCCCATCGATTGGGATCAGGTTGGTCATCTAGAATGGGATCTTTCACAAGCTTCTCGTCAAGAAGAATTATATTAGAAGCGAAATTCATGTATTCATTGGCTTCATGAAGGATGTCAAAACGAACTTCTTCCACTCTACTACTTTACAACAACGTTGTCAAAGGTTTGATTGAAGTCTCTTGCTTAGTTGGGGTTTTCACTTCCTCTAGAATCTCTTCTCCAACTTTTTAAGTTTTTCTTTAACTCCCAACTGTAGTATCCTAGTCCATGACTGCGACTCTTACTACCCATGTTTCGTTGATTGGAATTCGTAAGGCAGTTTTCTGCCCGTTCTTATCAGGCTCCCGGGTCCAATGGCTTTACAAGGTGATTCTTCCACAATTTGTAGGATGTGGTAGGGGGTCAGTTTCTTTTGCCCTCTTGGCTCTCTTTCATAGTGGGCATCTCCTTTAAAACTTCAACCGTACCAGGTTAGCTCTCCTTCCTAAAGTTTTGGCAACAAACACAATGCGATAAATGCGTGCAATTGACCTATGTCAAACGGTTATAAATGCATTGGGAAGCTCATCACCCTTCGTCTCCGTGTTTGCTTACCTGACTACTAATAACGTTCTATTGGATTAAGAGATTATGCATTTCTTGAAGATTAAATTGAGGGGTCGAGATCGTAGGATGACTCTCAAATTATTTATGGAGGAACCATGTAATCGTGTTGAGTGAGGTTTCTTGTGGCCGGTCATGGAAAAGTTGGGATTCTTTGGGCACGATGGATTAAATGGGTTCAAGAGTGTGTCACTATGGTTTCTTTTTCTCTACTCATGAATGGATCACCACATGGCTATTTGCATCCTCAGTGTGAGATACAACAAGGAGAACCACTCTTGCCACTTTTATTTGCGATCTACACCCATATGTTCTCTTCTATAATTAGTTCCTATGTTGCTATGAGATATTTTCATGAGGATAGCTGGAAGACAAAAGGAAATTGGGAGTGATTTGGTTGAGGTGGGCGGCGGTAAAAGATTGGATCTGGATTCAGGTTTTTTTTATTTTTTATCAATGTATCTCATTTCTTACACATATTTTCATTACATTGACGATGCCTATTATATCATGGTCGAACAATTTCTCTTGCGAAATCGATATACAAACATAAACTGCTTTGACAACGTTCCTTATATCTATTTGTTCCTTGGTGGAATATGCATGAGGATGCCTATCAAATCTCAAAAGTTGTCACATTTAAATAATGCGCTGTCCAGTTTCCCCTCGTGAGCCTATACCAGAAGCCCTGAACATGACCTGCTAAGCTGAGCCAAAACCATAGCGCGCTCTCTCTCTCTCTTGCAGGCCAAATATTGAAAAAAAAAAGGAAAAATCCCACAAAAAAACCCCATTTTGAAGATTGCTAATAAAATTTGAAAAAAAAGAAGCACCAGAGGAAAAGATTTTCCGAAATGCAAAATCAAAGCATTGCGCTGCTCTCGTCTTCTTCTGATTAATCATTTTTATATTTTCTGCAACGTTCTTTCTCCCGGGCCGGCTATGGAATCTTCACTCCACAGAGCTCTCTCCGTTTCCCGGTCCTCCGATTTCGCCTTTTCATCTTTGATCTGTAAGTGGCAATTCCTCGCTCTCCCTATTGAATCACCATTCCCACCCTCGGTTGGAGTTTGAATCTGGCTGGGTCATGTTATGCTCGTATTTCTTCATTGAATGGAATGGAGCTTCAGAGGTTTCATTTATGTGTTTTTGTCCCCTCTTCATCCTTCCTCGATAGTTAGTTAGTCTAGGGTTTCTGGTTCTCGAGTTCGGATCTTTTGCATTAGTCTGGATTTCTTATTGAAGCATTATCCCGGTTAGGGTTTCTGGCCTGAATGCGGGTCATTCTTACTTTTATTCTATTCGTTTTTTGGATTTCGAGCTTTGGGACTTCGGCCATTTCTGCATCAACCCTTCCTCCTTCAGCCCTTTTCGAGATTGAAGGAATGGCGTAATGCGGCAATTGTCTTTTTGTTTTTTTCCCCCTTGTTCATTGGGGTTACAGTTTTGTTGTGCTGGGTTTCAAGTTTTCTACTTTGTGCTGGCTTACTAGTTGAGAACAAACCTTTGAGGAATGTTGAAGGATATTTTCTAATGAAGACTCTTAATGCTGCTGTGTGGGTCTAGTGGTCGGAGTGTTACTAATTTCTTATTACATTTTTTTCTTACGGTTTCACTTTTGCCTTCACTCTTGCAATTTGTCTAATTTCTCCCACTTTATATCCAGGCCTGGCATTTCCTACTCTGTAGCATCTTTCGTAAGAGTTCAGTGGTAGAATATGGCCGAGTCAAATTCAGTTGACGTTATTCTAGACTTCTTGCGGAGAAACCGGTTCACTAGAGCCGAGGCAGCTTTGCGGAGTGAGCTTGGCAATCACCCTGATCTGAATGGATTCTTTCAGAAACTTTCTCTTGAAGACAAGGAGTCAGGGGAAGCTCTAGAAGAACGTAAAGGGAGCAAACCATCAGCCAACTTTCCGAGCTCTGGTTCCCGAGATAGTCGTGAGGTTTCTAAAGAACTTATAGTTAAAGAAATCGAGTGCAGTACTGACAGAAAAGGATCTGAGGGTAGCTGGGAAGCTTCTGCCTCAACTGATGATCGAAATGCGAACCCCAGCGAAACAATTGGTGGAATAGATTCTGGGGATACTGTCATTGATTTATATTCTTGGAAGTCTACTCCTAACAATGGTCTTAACGTCTATCAGAATGATAGATCTAGTACAAGAAATTTCTCTGGTAGAACAACAGAGCAAAGATCTAGAGAGGAGGTTCCCTTCTCAAGTGCGAAGAAAAGTGCATCGCAGGTTAGCAGTACTGGTGCTGCCATCCCTGATTCTAACAATAGCAAAATTCAGACAAGTGAACCTATTGAGTTTGGTCAGCAAGTTAAGACTACTGTGTCATATCCTGCTGAGAACCCATGGGCAAGAGCTGAGGTGCCTACAAGCTCTTCAGTGGACATATGGAAGGATTGTTCTGTGAAGACTGTCTTGCCATTCTCCAAGCTTGACGAATCCACTAGCTATGAACCTACTGCTAACACTTCAGATAAGAAGGAAGGTAAAAAGAAAGCTGATACAGCTGATGTAAGGGCTTCCATCAAAGAACAGGTTGATGAAATTGGCAGAGCTTTATATCTTGGTAAGTCACATGCGAGTGCTGAACCAAAGAAGTTTAGTACTTCTGGGTTTGCTCTTGCATCTGATAGTTCCAGGGAAGAGTTTCCAAGGCTTCCACCTGTTAGACTTAAGTCAGAAGACAAATTATTGAATGTCAACTGGCAGGAGAAGTTTGAGCGTGATAAGCCAGGGGCAAAAATTAGCAGTGCTGATAGTTCCTTCCTTATTGGGTCATATCTTGACGTTCCTATCGGGCAGGAAATCAACTCTTCAGGTTAGTATATCATTGGCCCTGCTGCATTCTAATTCGATTGAAGAGAGTTGTTTGAGCTAAGATTAAGACAGTTATGTTCTTAATATGAAAGAGCAATTAAATATTTAGTAATAGACCCTCTATGTTTCCAATTCTTAGTGAAGTTGACAGGCTTTATGCTTGTGAACGGCCTGTGTTTAGTATGCTTGTCTACCAGTAAAATCATAGTTGGTTTGTTTACAGTATGATTCTATCCTAACAAGCAGCGTACCCAGTCTGTCTTGTCTGAAACCCTTAACCTTGTTAGTAGTTGAGCTATTTTTCACTTGAGAGTTTTCCTTGTAGCTGATGATTCAGGTGGAAAAAGAATTGCAGGAGGCAGCTGGCTCTCCGTGAGTCAGGGAATTGCAGAGGACACTTCTGACCTTGTTTCTGGTTTTGCTACAGTGGGCGATGGATTGAGCGAGTCTATTGACTATCCAAATGAATATTGGGATTCTGATGAATATGATGACGACGACGATGTTGGTTACATGAGGCAACCTATAGAGGACGAGGCTTGGTTTCTGGCTCATGAAATTGATTATCCTAGTGACAATGAGAAGGGGACGGGACATGGGAGTGTTCCAGATCCTCCAGAAAGAGGTCCAACAAAAGATGATGATGATGATCAGTCCTTTGCTGAGGAAGACTCTTACTTCTCTGGGGAGCGGTACTTCCAGTCAAAAAACGATGAGCCTGTCACAGCTTCCGATGATCCCATCGGACTGTCAGTGACTGAAATTTATGGAAGAACTCATGAGAATGACTTGATGGCACAGTATGATGGACAACTGTTGGATGAAGAAGAGTTAACTTTGATGCGCGGTGAACCTGTGTGGCAGGGGTTTGTCACTCAGACTAATGAATTGGTTTTGCTAGGGGATGGGAAAGTACTCAATGACTCTGGAAGGGCACGCTTGGATGATGTTTGTATGGATGATGATCAACTTGGATCGGTTCGATCAATTGGTGTGGGCATTAACAGCGATGCTGCTGATTTTGGGAGTGAAATGCGCGAAAGCATGATTGGTGGTAGCAGTGAAGGGGATCTGGAGTACCTTCGTGATAATGATATTGGGGCTGGGGGTTATAGACCTAGTCATCAAGATTCAGAGAAGTCATATGTTGATAAACAAAGCAAGGATAGAAAGAGGGCCAGCAAACAAGATTCAGGTAACTTTGGCAATGAAAATGTCACTTCTACTCATCTCAAATCTCACATAGATGGAGGATTCTCATTTCCTCCACCATTGAGGGATGACCAAGCTGCCCAGGCAGGGTCTAGCAAGTGGTCAAACAAGTCTGATGCTGTTATGGTTGATGAAACCAATGACCATTTGGAGGCTTTGACGGTGCATGATGACATGCTTGCTGGGTGGAAGCAGAAAAGTAGTGGGTCTTCAACAGCCAAAAGTTCTAGAGAAGGATATAATGCTCATGCTATTGGCTCCGGAGACTCAACTCCTTCTACGGTTTCAAATTACGGGTATGCCGAACAAGAGCGATCTAAGAAAGAGGACGACGAAAAGGTTAATGGTGTGATGGAAGAAGAACCTGGGGTATCAGTTGAGGATGAAGAGGCAGTTGCTGTTCAAGAGCAAGTGAGACAAATCAAAGCTCAGGAGGAAGAATTTGAAACTTTCAACCTAAAGATTGTGCATAGGAAAAACAGGTATGTGTATAAATTTATGCTAAAAAATTAGTATCTGCTGACTATGCGGATTCTAGACATGCCTACTTTGAAACTAGTGGTGATATATGAGAAATGGATACAGGATCACTACTGACTAAGTGACTATGCTGCTTTCCATACCGGGATATTTTCTATAGTTGAAGGCATAACTTGTCATGACATATTCGCTTCATGGTATTGGATAGTCTAGCCATGTTACCTTTTTGGTCCCATGTTATTTTTTATTTGCATCTCAAAATGTTGAATCTCCTTTTTCCCTAGCTCACCCTTGATGTATCGGATCCCAACAGTAGTCTTCAACTGAAACACTTGTTGCTTACTCAGGACTGGCTTCGAGGAGGACAAGAACTTCCATGTAGTTTTGAATTCTGTACTAGCTGGGCGTTATCATGTCACTGAGTATCTTGGGTCAGCAGCCTTCAGTAAAGCCATTCAGGCGCATGATTTGCATACAGGCATGGATGTTTGTGTGAAAATCATTAAAAACAACAAGGACTTCTTTGATCAGAGCCTTGATGAGATAAAGCTTCTGAAGTATGTGAACAAGCATGATCCAGCTGACAAGTATCACCTTCTCAGATTATATGATTACTTCTATTACCGGGTGAGTAGTTACTGGACCTTCTGCAACCTTAGCATTTTCTCTTATTGTTGTTGCTCTCACTTGTGTTTGCCGTAGTGCTAGTTCTCCTTTTATAGTTTTGAGGATAATATTTGGTCATGATTTCAGGAGAGAACACATATTAGGGGAGAGAGTTATCTTGACTCTTGATAGTTATTGTTTGAATGTTTGCAACTGTCAAATGTCATTTGTATGCTAGCTCGCAAGTCAAAATAAGGGGTTGTTCGTGATGATTGATGAAATAGAAATGTATTCAACACCGTTCTGTTGCCTTCTTTTCACGACTATATTTAAACAGATCTGAACCTGTGGTGATGGCTTTTTCTGGTCTAGAATGCTAATTTTGTTTTATGTTACTTTTCTTGGAGAGCAGGCTGGGAAGTCTAGCTTGCATCTCCCCTTTGCTTGAGAGTGTTTATATGCCAGTCTTTATTCCAACGGCTAAAAATAATGAGAAAGGGAAATACGCTTTATGTTTTTTTTTTTTTTTTGTTCTCCGCTTATGTTTTTCTGTGAGGCTTCTAGGTTGCTGAATGGAGAGCATGTCCTTGTTATAATGTGGGAGTGCAGTTTAAACTCTATCTATCTTGTTGTGCTGATTGTCTTTTAGGTGCACTATTGTTGGATGCATTACCTGTGTGTGGTTGTTTCTCTTTATCTTTCAGCTACTTAACCGCTCGCCATGCCTTCTGTTAATCTTTCCAGGAACATTTGTTGATTGTATGTGAACTCCTCAAGGCAAACTTGTATGAATTCCATAAGTTCAACAGAGAATCTGGAGGGGAAGTCTATTTCACAATGCCCAGATTGCAGGTTGGTTACCATTTTGCAATCTCAGTATTCTATACTTTTTATGTTGGTGCATACTAATGTTTTTTCTTTAATGATTTGATGCAGTCCATTACAATCCAGTGTTTGGAAGCACTTCAATTCCTGCATGGTCTTGGCCTTATTCACTGTGATTTAAAGCCTGAGAATATATTAGTGAAAAGCTACAGTAGATGCGAGGTCAAAGTCATTGATCTTGGAAGTAGCTGTTTTGAGACAGATCACCTGTGCTCCTATGTCCAATCTAGATCATACCGTGCACCAGAGGTCATCCTAGGCCTTCCATATGATAAGAAGATAGACATTTGGTCACTTGGCTGTATCTTGGCAGAGCTTTGTACTGGCAATGTAAGTTTAAGCTTACAGTATTTGGCTACTAATTCATTGTCTAGGTACTTTGTTCATGTTTTGTTATTGCTAGTCCTACATAGAAGCTTATGTTTCTTTTATTTTTTTCTGATCGGTGTCCAATGATCTAAAATGAGAGAGGTGACAAAGAGGGTATTTGCCAATTGCCACTGCATTTTTATTCATGTTTTGTTATTGCCAATCCTACTTGGAAGCCTATGTTTCTTTTCTTTTTTCTGATTCGTGCCCAAAGGTCTAAAATGAGAGAGGTGACAAAGAGGTATCTGCCGATTGCCACTGCACTTTTAGAACATTGACAGCAAATATCAGTATGAAAATTTGCATGAGCTGTTTGTAGAATTACTTTCTGTAGTGATTGGTCTTGTAATAGTGATGGGAAGTAGTTTCTGCTGTTGAAGTTTGACATGGACTTGTCAAACAAAATATTTGTCGGATCGTTTGTTGCCTGCTGCTTGTGACCTATTGTCCTTGGTTTTGCATGATTGCCAAATATAGTAGTTATTTTTCTGAGGATGTAGTTCAAGAACGATATATTTTCTGCTAGGACAAGGAATATAGGCACTTTGTAGACTGACCGACATATAATACTTTATGTTTTAGGGTTCAGCTATATATCATCATGCCTTTGCATTCTGCAAATATTTTACATTGTCACCTGGGTCATGTCCAAAATAAGATTTTCTGTTTCAGGTTCTCTTCCAAAATGACTCACCGGCAACTCTACTGGCCAGAGTTATTGGAATTATTGGTCCCATCGATCAAGAGATGTTAGCTAAAGGGCGAGATACATACAAGTACTTCACCAAAAATCACATGCTTTATGAACGGAATCAGGTATATGTTCTTTCCTTTCTCTTCTAGCCAACGTCCATGTAGAACAAAGGGTAACCAATAGGTAGTTTTCAGGAGCTGCCGAAATTCAGTACGTAGGTTAAACACCCTTAAGAACCTGGTGCAAACTTTAAATCTTTCCACATAAAGTTAAAAAGAGTTCCTAATTTTGTAAATGGTATGGTAATTGCTCGTCCAATGACTGGATGAGTTGAGGTGAGATGCTTCTTATAAGGTTGTTTCATACAAGATGCTTTATGGTAGAACTTGTGCATTGCTCCGTCAGGCTGAATCTCTATAGTAGAAAAGCTTTCGTGTCCGTTGTCACTGGGTGATTTTCAATGCCTGCAAAACCAGAATGCATGCATGTTGAGCCCCATTCAGAGGGATAATATAGTGAAAGGTTTTTTTTAGTGAATCCGAATATGGTGGGTGTGCTATATCCTGAATTCCTCTTCTTCAGGAAACAAACCGACTAGAGTACCTGGTATCAAAGAAAACATCGTTGAGGCACCGATTACCAATGGGAGACCAAGGTTTCATTGATTTTGTTGGGCATTTACTTGAAGTAAACCCAAGGAAGCGTCCTTCTGCATTAGAGGCTCTGAAGCACCCATGGCTATCATTCCCTTACGAACCCATATCAGCCTAACCTGACTATACCAACATAGTCTGCCACAAGTCAGCAGCAACCTATTGGGAACGATATTTGTTTCCTTTGGCCCGTCCAGCCTCCTCCCCTCGAGCTTCAAGTGACCTCTCCGCATACTTGGGAACGTGCTTTGGTTTCTTGCTAGTGATAGTTTGTACTTCAGTCAGTCCCATTGTTGTTTCCCCCTATTTCCAAGTTGTATCTTAATCTGCGACCGATTAATCGATGAATGTAGTTTTGCACGAAAAAGATATGTGTATTACTAGGAAGTTTCATCTTCTCTTTTTGTTGTGCTATAGCCAAGTTTGGTTTTTTGTTCTATTTATCGGGTCGGGGGTAGGGATAAATCTTTTGTTGTATATGATGCCGGACGATTGTTACCTTTCAGATTCTTTTCCTTTTTGGGTTGTTAGTAATAGCATCATCATGGTTTATGGAAAACTGAAATTGGCTGGTCCTGATTTTGGTGGCTTGGCATTGAAGTTTTCTTGTTTTGCTGCTTTTAACTTCGTATTCTTTCTTTGTTTATAACGCTTGCTGCTTGCAGTTAATTCAAAAAATTAACACTACATAGAAGGCTACTCTTCTAACTTATGACCCAAGCTTTGTTTCAGAAAATCTACAATATGTTCAGCTATGTTGCTCTGCTAGGACATAAAGAACACTTCAATTTCAGTGAACTTTTTGCTTTTACGAATTACAACAATCACTCTCCAATCTGTTTTACATTTTACCAAAGAGAGCAGTGCATATCCCACGGCATTCTTAGGAGCCTTAGCAACCCTGGCTTGGCAAAGACCCCAAAGTGGTCCGAGCTTGCACCTCCTTGTTCTCTTAGACTTTGTGATACTTGTATTTCTGGCTCAGATTGAATCTGGTGATTTGTTGGTTGAATCCATTAAGCACCAAGTTGGTCACAGCTTCCACCCCTTGTTCTGTTGCTAAGTCAATCTGCCAAGTAGTGAAATCAAATCCTCAGAATCCATAAGAAAGAAGGATTGTTGTATGCAACTATGCATGCACCAGGGGATTGAAGGTACCTGCGCTCGCTCAGTTGGGCTGAATCGCTGCAGTAGAAAAGCTTTCATGTCCATTGTCCCTGGTGGATTCCCAATGCCTACACAGTCACAATTGCATGCATGTTGAGCCAATGAGCCCCATTGAGAGGGTTAGCTATGGTGGCAACAACAAACAATGTTAATGGCAAATGGAACAGGAGAGTCTGACACATGCCTATACATAATCGAGGGAATTGGCGGCAGCCATCCAAATGGTCGATCACGCTCTTCACACTGCAACAAAAATAGCTACAATTTTTACTGCTTCTGTATAGCAAGAACTTAATTTAAAGTGTTACAACTGATAATGAACCTATGATATATCCAATCTTTCAAGGGCACAATAGATAATTTCTTAACTAGAAAGTGGTTGGGTTTGCTTCAGTTGCTCTGGAAGCATAGGACATCCAGCTTTTGGGGGAGCTCATTAGTTGTATGCAATTAGATAGTTAAGAAGATAAAGGCACTTGCGAGGTCAACCAAGTCTTTCATAAGTACAGATTGTTTTGTACTCTTATTTGCAGGATGATAGTAACCACTATAAGATAGAATAATATATCAATCACTGTGAGTTCGAATTCTTCCTGGAGCCTAACATTGAAAAATAAGGCTACCCTACAGCCAGTTAAAGACAATGACATACCCGTTATGATGGCCATGGCCCCCTTTTGGCTGAAGTCTCATAACACCATTAGGCAAGCTCATTTCATCATATATCTACATGTTCAAACTACATAATCCATTAAGTCCGTCTAATTGGGAAAATATTAAGAATGAAATAAAGTAGACTTATCTTTAGGCAATGCATACCAGTAAAATATGACGGAGAGGCACTTGATAGTATGCAGCAAGAGGCCCAACCTTAACAGCAAAGTCATATAAATGAGCAATTCATCAACAAAACTGGCTATTGAAGCAAGGTTGATCTCATAACAATTGCATACTTTGACATGATAAACAGATGCAAACCATGTCCAGCAACAACAATAAACTTTCATGAATCTTCTGTAGGTATGTGTATAAAAAATTCTCATTGCAATGGAATTAGTATTGCCAAGTTTATCGCCAGAAGAAACTCTCTAAAAAAGCTGGGGATAAAGAGTATGGAACAGCAGGTTGAACTTTGAGTACATAGAGAAACTTTATGGACTATGTTATATTGTCAAATCATTAGACAAGCAATATATATCACACATCTTAAATCAGTGCTAAAGTTAAGAGAGTAGTACCATGACTTTGATTGGGATTTTATCACTGTCAAAATCTGCCCTACTAAAGTCCTAGAAATACCAAGTCATAGTTTACTTCAGGAAACCAGAAGGCTGATTTAATTCTGAACCTTCATTGGTTCACCAACTTGTGAATGATTATAAAGAACCAGCAAACAATATTTTGGAAGGATGCAGGACCAAAGAAATGACCACATAATCCAGCATCGAAACAGATAACTTAGTCAATGAATAGTACACCACTTTCACTAGCCTCTTTTCTTAGGTCCCTGGTTTGATACTAAGGTTTAACAAAAAAATATGAAGTAAAAAAAGGATCAAGAACATGACTTTTAACTTCGACAAAAGAAAAATAGCAACGGAACTCACCGATTCCCCACTAAAATTCATGTATGCTTGCGGCTTTGCCAACAGAATTGGCACCTCCCCAATGCAACCTACAGTACAGAGAGAATATGAAACGAGTAACAAAGAGAAAAGATTAGGGGCAACCGATAAGATTCAAGAAATCAACTTTTCAAAACCTATTCCAATTACAGCTTTTGATTGTATTGTGTTCAAGACAACGCCATGCTTCTGAGCTATTTGATCTATCACTTCAAAACCAACCTGCACAGCATCATTTTACAAATATCATTAACATTAGACTTAAAATATTAAACCAAAACAGAAGAATCATCAGTTTCAAGTAAGTACATTGTGCCTGGTGCCATGGTACTTATTTCCTGGGTTACCCAATCCAACAATGAGCCAAGGAGTGTATTCCACTTTGACTCCATTATTGTTTTCTGTCAACGAAGCACGTATTCTAAGCCGTGTTGAGGGTAAATGCCTTCTAGGCAAGATGGCCGTCCTAGGACAGGAGATGCAAGTTCTCGGGGCAATAGTTGTATGCAACATTGACCTAGAAATACAAAAGATATGTGAGAAATGAAAAATGAAGGGATGATTCTCAAATCTATGTTGCAATCAATGCAGTCAAATCGTGATTTTACATGAAATCGAAAACTGGGGTAAAATCATAAGACAACCACTCAATCAATCAGTCACAGCCTGAATACAAAGCTAAAACACAAACATGAAACTTCATAACCCTAAATTTCAAAACCACACCAATTAACAAAAGGAAATGAATGCATCATTCGATTTCCTTCCAACCAGACAAAAGCCAACTCTTAACTATCTTTCTGTCGGCAAGACAGCAACTGATTGTTTCTCAATACAATATTATCTCACGGTATCGGCATGAGCAATAAGAGACAGTTTAACCACTTCGCATTGATTCATTGATTACTATTCACCAAATCAACCATCTACGCCACGCAGCTCTTTCTGAATTGATGAAAGAATCACAGAGAGAAATTTATTCATGCAATCACACCCTTTGGCAAACAAACATCACAAGCTATCCATTCAATTCATTCCAGCCAACCAAGTTAACCCACAAATTAATAGGAGACATCGGTGCCCAGAACTCACCAGGGACGGCGGAAGCAGGGAGGCTAAATATGGAGGCGGCGGGTCGCCGGTGGATACGAACGGACGAGACAGAGGGAGCGAGAGCAGAGCGCTGAAATGGAGGACGAAGGTGATGGCGGAGACGAAACCAGGAATGGAGGAGATAGCGCCGGCGAAGTAGGTGATGGTTGAGTGGTCCGTGGCGTTAGCCGTTGAGAGGGAGTGCAGGACTGTGGAGAATTGAGATAGACTTGAGAGCTTTTCGCCGTCGCTGGTGAACTGAAGAAACGGATTTGGCTGCAAGAATGTGACGGCGGAGGAGCTAAGAAACGACAGCGTATGAGAGACTTTTAGAGCAAACAGTCTTACCCTTATAAATAAGGACAGTGGGCCGAGCCAATTAAAATAATAATCATAGGCCGCCGGGGACAGCATATTACCGACGTTGCAATTTACTTTGAAGTTGCCCGCCGGTGGCCGTTCTCGCTGCAAGAGAGTGATTGATTTCGACCTGGGTATTGATTTATTTGTAGTTGTATGATTTTTTCATACCGGTATTGAATATTGATTATCATTTAACGATATTGCTTTTCTGGTATTGATGTTATCTTATTAGTATTGATGTTCATGTATTGATATTAGTTAAATTGGATCCATATCTATTTCAATTGTTTTTGTTAAGATCCGGGGAGACGAGCAAATCTCCGACCAACCCCAATTCCAGGAATTCGTTCCGCACTGTAATGGTATGGATTAATATACTACAGGAAAAAGATCCTTTAAACACAGGAAATCCCATGTTTAAAAGCACGTTTCCCGTCATTAATGATTTTAGTCACGGGAAATTTACCGTAATATAAACCTCCGTGACTAGTTGTATACCGTGATTAGTTATAGTACCGTGACTAGTTATAAAGTCATGGTAAAGTTTCCCATGATTATTTGTACCGCTTAATCACGGGAAAAACCATGTCTAATGCAAATATTTTTGCACAAGCGCAAGAAAAAAGCACATTTAAAGACGGAATATTTACATTTTCATACGGTATTTACCATGACAAATTCGATTACCGTGACCAGAAGTCAATCACTTGTCACGGTAATTACTACTTGTAGTCACTGGTTCTCCAATGACTAATTTCTAACCATTAGTCATAGTATGTTACTGTGACAAGTTACAGCCCACTAGTCACAATATTTTCTCGTGATGTCTGCTATTATATTTTGCAGCCAACATGTACACTAAAAACAATTAAATTTCATCAAACTTATATTACCAAGAGTAACAAAATTTACACTATTATTATATTTTGCAGCCAATTGTTTATAAAATTCACTCCAATACCACTCAATAATAAACGTAATCAATGTACAGTTAATTTTTTTTTTCTTTTAGGAATAACCTTCGAGCAAAAGAAAACTAGTTACAAATATAAGAGAACATTTTCTTGCTCTAACACTATAATTTATTAAATTTCCTATCATGTGCTCAAAGAATTTCAGCCCTTCAAGTCCACAAAGCTGAAGCTTAAACCTACAATACAAAGAAGAGAGCAGTAGAAAGAAGATAGTCATATTTCAATTAAAATGCAGTACTTTCAAGACAAGCTATGACTTAAGTTTTTCACATAAATGAGTGAGTGACCAAGGTAGATAAAGCATCAAACCACATAACACAAAACACTACAAGGTAACCTTTTCAGGTAAGAACTTTCCACCATATGGATCAGCAACATAGACCTTACCTGGCTTGTAGCTACCAATGATAGTGCCAAGAATGATCTGCTTGTTCAATTTCATCATGGTATGAAACAAAGCCTCAACATAACATAATCAAATTCCCCACTTAAATATCCTACAAAGTTTAATCATTATTTACACGAAGAGAGCTGAAAGGGAATTGAACTGAAGGGTCTTTCTTCACTGTCTGTCTACTTAGCTACTCCAAAAATGAAACATGGACACTGGACAGAAGCTTTTAGCCTAAATGGAAAACACATGCCAGCTAAAATGGATGTTGTCCTAAATGGCCATGAAGTACAATACTAACATGAAACATTTTTGTAATGGATACAATAAGCATAACAAGGACTGAATAAAGAAAGCATAGTAAAAAGAACTAAAATCAAGGACTCAGTAATGAAAGCATATCAAATAGAACTGGAATGATGGAGAGGGTGATTGGTCCTTTACCCCTGCACATGTTGAAAAGAGCAGACGACAAGGAAAACTGGATTGGCCAGAAAGGCTGCATCTAGGGAAAGTGTTAGAGCAGTAATGAAGCTACATAGACTGCATAATTTGATAATGCAGTACTTGGATAATTCTACAGGAGAGGAAGGGTTTCGTTTTGCACCAACGACTCGGACATCAGCAGCTCCAACTACAGCAAAAAGTGCAACTATCAATCATATTTTTCCCATTACAAAGGGGAAAACAACAACTCTACAAAACAGCAGAAGCAGTCTACCAATGAGCGAGCAAAAGCACTCTTTGCAAATGAACCTAGAATCTCAAAATGTGCAGAATAGAACAAGAACATGATAGACACCCTGCCACAACAAATAAGGGTTAATTCCCTAAATATTGTTTTTTTTTTAATTTACCACGAATATAGTGTTTTTAAAGTATTTACAAGAATATTGTGTTTTTTGATATGTTTAAAGCGCCGAAGCCTTAGACTCAGGCGCTGCCGCTGGATGCTTTTTTAACAAACAAAATACAGCGGCGCCGCCCCAGACTGGGGCTTTGTCGCTGCCATTTTGTTCCACTCCAGCACCACCCCTCACCATATATACTGCACCTTTCCTTCGGTTCTTCATCACCAAAAAACTGAAAGAAGTTCTGAAAGAAGCTCTGGTGTTGCTGTCTGGTTGCTGGAAGATGGCTAATAACAGGTAAGAGTCGTATTTATTTTTTTCATGTATTCATCATAATGATTTTGTCTAGTTAGCAATTAGTGAGTTTGTTTTTTATGTAGTGATTTTAGAAGATTTGAACTAGCTGTTCGGTGGCGATCAGAGAAAGTAGAAGACAATTTGGGTGTCCATTTTGTTGGTGGTCTAAGTTTCCAGATGACTATTCCATCCAGGGTGAACTATCAGAAACTTTGTGATCATCTAATTCGGAGAATACGGATTAGAGACGAAACAGTACAAGATAGTGTTGTGATTACAGGTTTCACCTACTGTCTTCCAGAATGGCAGAATGGTGTTTTATTTCATTATGCAATGCCTATTGTCGATGATGATAGCTTAAATGTGCTTTGGAATTTTATGGCACAAAATCCTTATTGTTTGGATGCTAAGATACATGCTGAGCTCAGTGAGGATCGGGGTGGAGAGGAAGACGATGATGGCGGTGATGACACATGGAGCATGTCATCCGATCATGATTATGATGACGGTGATGACAGAGATGAGGAAGACGATGATGAGGAGGAGGAGGACGATGACGACGGGCAGGGAGGAGAACAACCTAATATTCCTCCATATTTTTACTTGCAGGGTAATGAAGAGGACAAGGAATTATCATATGCTGATTCATATGGCGTAATTCCAGGGTCTACTGGTTGTGGTTTTGGTGGAGAATTCTACAAGGGGAAAATATTTCACTCGAAACAAGCTGCACAGGTGGCGATGAAACACTATGCACTACAACGCAACTTTCAGTATAACGTGGTGGAGTCGTCACCTTCAATCTGGAAGATCAGATGTTTGATGCACAAGGAGGACAAATATCCTTGGATGGTGCGGTTTGGATGTCGAGAAATGGGAGGCGATTGGAGCGTGAGAAAGGTCGAGTTGGTTCATACTTGTAGCAGTACGACTCAACCGACGGATCATCGCCATCTTGATGTCGACGTGATATCTGAGGCCGTCAAACACTTGGTATGTGCCCAACCAAATCTGAGTGTTCTAACTGTTCAGGCCGAGTTGAAAGATAAGTTTAATATGTAAGTTACTTACAAGAAGGCTTGGTATGGGAAACAAAGAGCATTGGAGAAGTTGCATGGAAATTGGGAAGAATCCTATGATTTTTTGCAAACATTCTTGCGGGTGGTCAAGAGAAAAATGCCAACATTGGTGATTCATTGGGTAAGAGTTCCTTCAACTCAACCAGGTCATTCAATATTTCAGCGAGTATTCTGGGTTTATGGACCTTGTATAGATGGATTCAAGAATTGTCCAGGCGTTATGGTTGTTGATGGAACATTTCTTACTGGGAAGTATAAAGGAGTGCTACTCATGGCGAGCTCATTTGATGGACGGAAGAAGATTTTTCCAATTGCATTTGCCATAGTGGAGAGTGAGAATACTGATAGTTGGCCATGGTTCATAAGTCACGTTCAGGGTTTGACTGATCGAAATGATGTATGCATCATCTCAAATAGACATGCAGGACTCTATGAAGCCATGAATAACATCGGAAGAGGTTGGGAGTGGAGGTGGTGCATGCGACACTATGCAAGCAATTTGCAAAGGAAGACTAAAAGCAGAATTATGTATAATCAACTATTTCGAGTCGGTAAGCTTTCTTCATATAATTTTGTTACTTGTTTTCATGTAATTTTGTCATGAATTTATCTAATCCGTGTGGTGGTTTATTTTATTTTGTTAGCCGGAGAAAAACGGTTGGAGAAGTTTGATCGTCAAGTTGAGCAATTTAAGAAGGTGGCCGCTGATAGAAATATTTCATGTGATAACTGGGTGGATCAACATCAAATTCGTTGGAGTTTAGCACACGATAACTACAATGGTGGGCGTCGTTGGTCTATCCTGACATCTAACATGGCAGAAAGCGTCAATGGTATTTTCAAAGGTATTCGTGCACTTCCTATAGTTTCTCTTGTGCAACATACCTATTGGCGATTGGTGGAGAAATTCGATAAGTACAGGTTGGAGACAGGAGCAGAAATTAGGAGTGGTCCTTCACAATTCTCCACCAAGTGCGAAGAGCTGATGAAGGCGTGGTCACAAAAGGCAGTTGGACATTCTGTGACAGCTCTTGATCGACGTCAAGGCATCTATGTAGTTCAGACTCCTCCCAACAATTTCAACATGACGGGGTCAAACACACTCACAGTGCACTTTGACGACCCCAACCGGACGGGATTTTGCACCTGTGGTGAATTTCAAGGAAATAAAATTACTTGCTCTAATGCCATTGCAGCTTGCAACCGAATGGGTGCTAGTGCGTATAGGTTTGTCAACAATGTCTACAAGCTGGAAACAGTGATGGCTTGTTATGGGACAAGTTTCGCACCTCTTGGTGAACCTAAGTGTTGGAAGAAGCATAATGACCCTACTATCCATCCTAATCTGGACATGATTAGAAAGCCGGGGAGGCCAATATCAACACGAATTCACAACGAGATGGATTGGCCAAGGGAGGGTTCATCACAGCAAGTGGGACATAATGCATCAACCTGTGGTGGCCAAGCAAGTGGGAGTGGGAGCAACCGAAGAGGGAGTGGTGGCCAACGAAGTGCGAGAGGTGGTAGAAGAGGAGGAAGTAGAGGGAATAGACGAGGCTAAGAAGTTAGTTCAAAGGTAGAAGTTGTTGTTTGGAGTTGTTGTTGTTTGAAGTTGTTGTTTGGAGTTGTTGTTTGGAGTTGTTGTTTGGACTTTTATGAACTGAACTAGTTGTTGATGTTTGTTGGTTTTATATTTAAAGTCTCAATTTAGACAATAACACTAAGAATAACAGATTAAAAATAGTCCAAAATAAGTACATAACAATAAATAGTCTCAAGGAAGTATATAATAATAATGCATAGTCACAAAGAACATAATAATAGTCTCAAGGAAGTACATAAATACATAACAATAAATAGTCCTCAACCACCACGACCACCACGTCGACCACCACGACCACCACCGTGCTCTGCCACTAGATGGCCGCCAGTACCACACCTCGCTGGCCTCCTGACTCGCGGAGGCAACTGCTCATCTCTCTCCGCCCCATCATCCTGATCCTGTGTGCCGTACATATCATCTACTTGAGACTGAACATGCTCATCCGGTGCACCCTCTCGTCGCTGCTTCTCATATGCCCAATGAGATGTCTGGAAGTCCTGATCCTGAACCTGCAGACCGACACGCTCCCACTCATCGACGTCCAAATGTGGCAGGTCTGTACGACCTGATCCCATGTGCCCGCCTCCCATCGTAGTATGCTGCGGTGTGTGAAAGCTATCCTCCTGTGGCTGAAAATGAGGGCCAGAAGAACTGGTGTCTGCCTGAAATCCGGTAAAAGTAGGCCTGACTGGCTGGAATGTGAAGGTCGATGTAGGTCTGACGGGCTGACGATCTGAGTACCTCACTCCTCGAGGTACGTCACGCTGCTCACGTCGCTGTCTCCTCCTCCTGGGCTCCTCTGTGAACTGTGGCGGCGGTACGCCCCAAGCCGATGACTGAGTCCTACGCTCTGGCCAGCTAGCTAAGCTGCGCTCATCGGGTACCACTGTATCGGCTCTGTATCAGGATGTTGGCGACCACTAAAACCTATAGCTGTAACCCCTGCCGCCAACTGGTCAACATACCCGCCATCTGGTCATATGATAGCTCTCCTGATCTCATCCCATCACGTAAACCCTGCTGAACGGACTCCATGCAGTCGTACTGCAAATTTAAATGGAAAATATCAGAAATTCTATACATCTAAAAACAATTAAAACACAAATTTTAATTACTAAAAAAACTCACCGCTCATTCAGTGCAGCAACTCTCCGTGTGCCTGAACGTCTAGTGACATCTCTATACCAGTCTTGATGCTCCGAGTGGTAAGCTAATTCTACGTCAGTGTAGCTCGTCTGCGCTACGAACTCATGTCGACGGTCCCACAACTCAATCGACTCGCTGGCTGCCTGTATGAACTACTGTCCACGTGAAGGCCCATGCTGTCCCTGACGAAGAAAAAATCTAATCTCAGCCGCGGAATGTGGAGGATGAGGCCGATCCTGAACCATCACAAACTGTCCGAGTACGCGATCTGGATGATGCCACATCTGTGATGAGAAGCAGATCAACGGAACTACTGCTCGAAACGTGTGGGACTAGATCACAGTACCGATGTAGTCCTGACCTCTATGATAGTACGGACGCCACTGCACACAAGGATTGGTCACATAATTACTCCTAAATCTATAACAAATCAATTAAAACTATTCTATAAAACGAAATGATATATACTAACCACGAATGTCGTGCACTCGTCAAACCACAACTTGTTCAAGTAGAACTGATCTCCATGCTGACGGGTGTGGGCCGGAAGCCACCGAAGGCCACGTGGCACTGCGTCCTGAGTAATCTGCTCACCCGTCACCGCATGTAGTGGTGATGTATGAGGAAACCGCTCCCACGTCCAGATCATCAGCAAGGCGGACCATCCACCAAAGTCACCACCCAGTGAAGAAGATGCCGTCATCTGCAGCGCTGATCTACCCATCTCACGGTACAAGTAGGATAACACAGCTGCTCCCCAAGCAAACCTCCCCGCTCTGTGCCAATCCTCCACCAAAAGTAGGTTCTGCAGGTGGACTGAACCTCCAAACCGATCGGAGAACAAGACACCTCCCATCAGAGACAGCGCATACGCTCTTGCAAACTGCTCTGTCGTCTGGAGTGATGCTGAAAGCGGCAGCTCATCGAAAGTCTCCCTAAGCCAAGAAATCTGGATGACGCCACCACCAAGATCAGTAGGAGCCTGTCCTAACAGTCGAAGACACATACCCGACCAGTCCTCGTCGGGTATGTCTACTACGACGGCATCACCGTCCATCGCTAATCCGGTGAGTGTTGCAACGTCCTCTAGGGTGATCGTCACCTCACCGAACGGCATGTGAAATGTCGATGTCTCGGGTCGCCAACGCTCTACGAGCGCAGTAATCAAACCCGGATCATCGGTAAGAGGGGCTAGTGGCAGAACACTAGACAGGCCGGCATCAACGAGATACAGCAGGTACAGTGGATTGTATCGAACTAAATTTCCAGTATGACGAATGTGGAATGGTCGATCACCAGCCTATAATTAATGCACAAAACTATATTAATTCAATTCATTCAATTCACCTAATATTTATATTTATATATCTAAATTAAACTTATTCTAATATAATATACTCGTAATTTAATCTAATTCTATTCCTAATTTAATTTAATTTCAATAGTAATTTAATTTAATTTAATTCTATTCTATTCTATCATATTATTCAGCTAATAAAACTATAGAAATAGTTTGAAAAAAAACTTACCTCATTTGTCCAAACTGAGTCAATCCGATGGTGACCATGCCCCCAAAGAAGTTCGGGATCCATCGGAGCAGTATCAATTGTCGCAGGTAGTGGTCTCATCGAACAAGGATCGATAAGCCTAGGAACTGGAAAAAAAAAAATTAGAACATAAAAAAAAATGCAGTCAGAAATTTTTTTTTGCCGCCGGCGAGTATCCGACACTCACTTCTGTAGCGTTTGCCGCCGCCACGCCGCCCTCGCCGTCCTCGGCCTCTTCCTCTGCCGCCGGGGGCATGCTGCTCGTCGTCGGACATTCTTTCGCGTCGCCGCTGTTGCTGGGGCGCCTTCGCTCTCTTCCTCGCGCCGCCGCCTGGGTTTGAGGCACTGCCGCTCTGTTCTCGGCGTCGGCGCTGGTTGGGTGAAGGAGGGGTCGGGATGGAGGAGGATGAAGGAGGTCGGGATGGAGGGAGGGAGGATTGGGTCTATGCGAGAGGGCGAGGAGGGGAATTAAAAAAACAAAGGAAGCCAGCGACGGCGCCCCAGTCTCAGGTTTTTGCGCTATTTGAAATTTCAAAAATTTCAAATAGCGCAAAAACCTGAGACTGGGGCGCCGTCGCTGGCTTTACCTTTAAAAACTGTATTTGCTGAGTATCGGGCGCCGTCGCCAACTTTCCTCTATCAAAACACAATATTGTTGTAAATACTTTTCAAAACACAATATACGTGATAAATAAAATAAAAACAATATTTAGGGAATTAACCCCAACAAATAAAGGGTTAAGTTAAAGCACATTAGTTGTTTCAACCACATTTTCTTCATTTGGCTAGTTAGTTAATAGCCTTCAAAATTCAGGCATATAGTAATAGAAACAGAGGCGGGTAAAGGAATGATTATCCCATTGTTTCACCTGGTTTGCATCGATCAGTTTCAACATAGTGACATCAGCTTAGTATCAGGCATAGTAGTCGTAACTTCTCTTAAACCTTAACCATTTTACTAAAGCAAAACTGTTCTTATGATCACTAGATTATTGATACTGTCATCTACTTATGTTATAACTGGTCATAGTTCAGAACTTGTGAACCAAGGAGTACCTCATAACACATAAGTAAAAGGAGTCAGACGAGTAGTTAGACAACTGACAAACCAAACATAGCAAGATATCCCTTTAACTAGACCATAAACGCGAGACTTACAAGCTGGAGGGTGTGAGAACAAAGAGAAACCCACAATGAGCACAATAACTGCAACAAGGCAGGGAACAAGACAGAGACAGCTGAGTAAAACAAACAAACATATATGAAATAGAGTATAATTCTACTTTGATTGTCTTGAAAACCTAAACACAACAGCTCTTGTAATGGAATCATTCTTCCCTCTTTAATTCCGATCCAATTTTGGAATTTCCCTCTTTAATAGCACCGCCAAAAACTAATAACTTGACCTTCCTTACCTCTGCAAACAATAGAAATTAGAGAAGCCTTTATGGTAGACCCCATTTGCACCCCCCAACAGCAGCACTTGTCTCAGCACGAACTAGAGCTCGACTACTAGAAGTATCCATTTCAATCCCCCTGGCATTTGTCTCAGCACGAACTAGTTCTGTAGCTGCTGCTACTGCTTCTTCTATTGTTCCTTCATTTGATACATCATAACCAGAAAGTATAAATTAGCACTCACATGTAGTAGACATGAAACCAACAGATAGTGGACAATCAGTACACCTTGGCGACTTCAGAAACCAAAAAGAGAACCCCCTTTGAATCCATCACAATCACACAGAGGCATAAACTGAACAACAGATCTTAGTAAGCATCATTTCCCCTTTGAGAGCCTCCAGTCATTCATGAAAATCCTACCAACACTTCTTGTTAAAATAATAAACTAATTAATCACCAAAACCAGGTTAATACAAACCAAATGTCAATCCATTAACTCATAATCGCAAGCCATATAAAACCTAAATCTTATAAGATAGAAAGACCTAATATCATATTTTAGGTTGAATACAATCGATAGGTTGATTTTGGGATAGAAAGGAGAACAAGGAAAAGTAACCTGAATGCCTTAAATCAAAATTTTAAAACCTGTTTTCGTAAACGGGCGCCTTCAATAGCGTCGCCGACAGGAGACGACTCATTTGCATGGTCGGCGTTTTCCTCCTCAGTTCCTTCCTCCGCTAGATCTTCTCCCGTCACTTATGAGAGACGGAGAGAGAGTCCTTTTAACAGCGGCGGATAGAGATTTCAATCATCTGCTTCCACACAGGCAGCCATCCTGCTAGATCGAAGATCTCCACCATATGCTTCCATACAAGCGATGATGGCGCTAGAAAGACAGGGGTACGTTGAGTTAATGCCCAGTAATAGTTGTGGGGCGGAGATGGAGAGGCCTTCTATGGTTAGGCAGGCAAGCAAGATATGGATTTGTGCTCCTATGGCGATTGGCAGGGAAAGAGGGGGAGAGGAACGGTCGAGGCTTTCCTTGTTATTGGAAGAAAGGAATCCCTCTAATTTGTTTTGGGACCGTGGAGTGGCACTTGCCGGATCGATGCCTCCGTCAGTTTGGTCGGGAGCAGTGCATTCCGTTGGAGGTCCCCGATAGTCAAAAGGCCTTCCATGGTCGAGATGGGCGGCAAGGTACTCGAGATTGGCCCTTGAAGCTGGAGAAATTCATCACCATGTGGGCAAACCGACAAATGCAAGATATTGTCACTCCAGCTCAAGTGGGTCGAATGGGGTATCATGACCCATACTTGGATCGATATCGGCAAACAACGGTCCGTTACATGAATCCGGAGGGTGCTGCCGATGGTGCATTAGTAAGTATATTCCACTCTACATAATTAAATGTATTGTTTTGGTTCCAAAATTGTTTCCTAACTTATTGTTTTGTGATTTAGGCTGACGGGATTGAGCGGATTAAAGACATGACCACCGGGAGAATGGAGCTGGGAAATGAAGATGTGAGCTTCATCAGGAGGATGGAAAACAGTCTTCTTGGCTGTATCAGAGCTCAGGGTCGGGATCATCGTAGATATCCGCCCATGCTCGCACCCCCGCCACCTCCGGTACAAGTTGATGTCCCCGATCCCCCACCACCATACGAGAGGAAGCCAAGCAAGAGGTTCCGGGAAAGGCCCAACGTGCCCGAAGTCACGCCATATCCCGGGTGGAAACTGCCGCCCCCATTGGTTGCTCCCCAAGGTGTCGGCTCGAGATCCCCCCAAGGTGGCGGCCCGAGTTCTCCCCAAGTTGGCGGCCCGAGTTCTCCCCAAGTTGCCGGCCCAAGTTCCACCCAAACTCCCCACCAAGGCTCGTACTAAGATCCCCGCTCGACCTACCATCAAACCCCTCCGAGTCCCACCCCGATCTCATACAACGATCCCCGCCATGGAGCATACTACGATTACCGCCCAATCTACCCCCCATCTCCCCGTCAAGGAGGTTACTACGATTACCGCCCGGTCTACCCCCCATCTCCCCGCCATACATCATCGGGTACTTGGCATGATGGTTCCTCCACGACGGCCCACCATGATTTTACGCCATGGACTCGCCCTCATCAGCAGTGGCCTCCTACTCCTCACCATACTTCCGTGGATGTCCCCCGCTCGACCCCGGAAGTGCCGATTCCCCGCCGACACAGCACCAACGAGTGCCAAATTACCTCGGTCCGAGTTCGAAACTTGCCACCGCAACCACCTGTTGTTACTCCCGTCAGTCGTCGTACAAGGAGCAAGAAAACTGTGGGTTCCGGTGAAGCTCGTGGACTTCCTTGAGTTATATTTGAGAGTTGAATTTAATTTCTATGTAATTTGAACTATTCCTATTATCTTAGTTTATCGAATTGATTGTTGTTTCAATTTGGTTTTATTTCTATCCCCTTGGAACTATGCCTTTTATCTTTATGTAATCCCAATTAGTTCAATCAACAATACAGTGGAGAGAAGAGATTGGATTGAAAATTCTGGGTTCTAACCCAAATTCGAGCCAATGAACGATAAAAGCAACAATACACGTTTCGTTCAATCAACAATACACAATTACTTGCAAAGTAAGAGTCTCAACTAGCTTGAAAAAAAATGATAAAAGCAAACTATGTCGCATTAGCTGAGTCCGGCACATCAGGACCCGGATTTTGTGGACCAATCGGGCCTGGACATCTTCGTTTATCATGTCCTGGAACTTTGCATATTGAACATCGTCTTGGGCCTCGTGGTGGTCTTCCACTTTGATCCATTTCGTTCTGAATTCTCTTTTTCCTCGGGCGACCCGTTCACGCCTCTGTCCGAACGGCGGGATGATCAATTTTCCTTCGTACATCGGCCAATAAACTTCATCAGGCAATGCACGGAAACTCCGTCCATAGGTGTTTTTGAGTGAGTCGATATTGAAGAACGGACTAACGAAGTGACGGGGGTCTTTGCTCCTGTTTTTAATTACGACCATTGCATGAGAACAAGGCCACCCTCTCCCTTGATACTTCTGGCATGAGCACTCACCAACTTTTGTCCTGAAATTGACCAAAACTTCATGGCGGTGGCCCCCCCGTCTACCATCCTCCCGATGCCCGGTCGTCACGCTATACTCGCCATTTGCCCGATTCATAACGGTTACACTATGTCGACTGCTCTTGCGATTTTCATTCTCCATTACTTCCATGACTTTATAGGCATGGACCTTACCATGTGCCTCGTTCGTCCTTGCCCAGTGGAGTCGGTTGACGAACCATGCATTCGTTTTCCAAAAAGTCATCTCCACAATGGCAGAGATTGGCAGTGCACGAACGGCCTTGTAGACAGAGTTGATACTCTCACCTCAGTTCGTTGTGGCAATACCCCATCTTGTCCCTCCATCTTTATAAAATGTCCACATGGATAGGTCATGTCCATCCAGCCACTGTGCCCCTTCAGGGCATAACTCGCGCAACTTCTGCATCTTCTCCAGAAATTTTTTCTCTTGGTAGGCAACCGCTGAGGAAGACACAAAAAAGTAGTATGTCAGTCAATTTTCGGAAATTTAGTACAAATTCGAACAGCCCGGAGTTACTCTCGTTAGACTCTTAAGAGAGGTATACATCTCCTTAGAACCACAGCTTGTTTGACAGAAAAAGGGGGGATCCGAAGATCGCTTAAAACCCGATTTTCCCAGGAAATGGGAGGATTATGATAATCGCTTAAAACCCCATTTCCTTAGGCATGCATCACTTTAGAAAGAGTCTAACCAGTGCACCACTCGCCAAATGTACTAAGATATGGTAATTGGAACTAAATTATACGGCTAATTACAAACTTACCAATCCACCACAAATTATCAGCAAGCTTCTTCCGCTTGAAATGATGGTTCCAGTTGCTCTTGAAGTGTCGTATGCAACACCTTTGGGACCACTTCCAGGCTGGATCTAAACCTAAGATGGCAGCTCTAATGCCGGCGTGCCGATCAGAGATTATTGTCAGGTTTGTCTTCCTAGTACAATGTTGCTGAATTTGCCGGAAAAACCATCCATAGCTATCAGCATTCTCTCCCTCAACGATGGCGAAGGCTAAAGGAAAGACTTGTGTGTTTGCATCCGCCCCACTGGCAATCAGGAGAGTGCCCTTGTACTTGCCGGTAAGGAATGTTCCATCCACTTGGATGACAGGGACACAGAAGCCAAAACCATCAATACATGGCTTGAATGCCCAAAAAAGTCGTCTGAAATGGCGCTTGTTACCTGGCTCTGGGGGTTGTATCTCTTCATCTTGGTATCGAGGGGAGAAAACCGTGCCAGGGTTAGACGCCTCCAATGCCAAAATTAACCTGGGAAGGAATGCATATGATTCTTCCCAATCACCAAAGACGGCGGCCAGAGCTTTCTGCTTTCCATGCCACGCCTTCTTATAGTTAATCATATAACCATAACGACTTGCAATGTCATCGATTATGACTTTCACCTTTAGGTCTGGCTCTTGCTCAATTAGATGCTTGATAGCCGCAGCAACCACCCTGGATTTCAACTGTCGATGGCCTTGGGAAGTTATGGATGACACACATATGTGTGTGTTCACCACACGAGATATGACCCAGTGGCCGTGTCTCTTGCTGTTGATGGCCCGAATCCTAACATTGCACCCATCGTGATGATTACGGCATCTGACTATGAGCCTTTTAGTGTTGGAATGAGTTGTGTGCCATTCAAAATGTCGAGTCATTGCTTCTGTCTCAATAGCGTGACACACCTCCTTCTTCGAGCCAAATTGTTGGCCCTTCATAAACCCAGTGAGTGGACCCCATATTGGGATCTCTGGCGGCTCCATGTCGCTATCGACCATCCAATTGTCATCTGGAATGTGATTGTAGTAGGGGATTGGTACACGGTCACGAGCACCCTCATCATCATTAGCTGAGTCTGACTCTGGTCCTGAATCATCGGCACCTTCAAGAGGGTCGGAGCTGTCTGCACTGACGTTGTTCTCTCCTTCTTCATCGGAGGGGTCACTGACTGGTGCTGGCATGACATCCTCCATCTGATCCAGCTCATGAAAGGCACCTTCATCAGCTCCATAATGGTAGTTGTGAAAACTACCGCTGCCTGAGTGGAAGTTGTACTGAGGTTGGTTGGGCCGGTCCGGTTGAACTTCTTCTTCATATGATTGATGATGACCTTCACCTTGCCCTTGGTACTGAAAATATGAATGAGGATCATGGTAACTTTGGTAGGGTTGATCGCCATATAATTCACCTCCACCATGGATACCAGATGTTTGACCGTGTCCAGAATGACCTCCAACGCCTACGACCGGCTCGGTGTAAACGAACATCTCGGCTTTGGAAAGATTGTTGGACCTCATGAATTCGAGCATGGCGTCTACCTCATCCTGAGTGGTTATGAGATATTCCTCATGCCACAATGACCCACTTTCTCTGTTTGGATATCGGTACACCATACGATCAACTCTTCTCGTGCCATCCATGCAAGTAACGTTAGTGCACATTTTATGGAGGTCTTCAAGCAGCGGTCTGGTGGTGACCTTTATCTTCTGAAAATTGCCACCTACGTAGGTGACCCCCTTTCCGGTCTCTTCCGTGTAACCATTCCACCGTAAGCCAAGCGTGAACTTTTGGAATGCCATCTGCGATAAAACCGTAGTTCAGTTAATATCATAAAAATCAAAAATAAAAAATAACAATAAAAAGTAATACTAAATAAACTTACGAGTTAACGTTAATTGCAAAACTACTAAAGAAATATAGAGCTACAACAGAAAATTGAAAAGGGAGAAGGAGAGGTGTGAAGAGAAGTGGTTGTCCGGGAGGCCTTTTATAGGCAAAATCACTGATGAAAACCGCACCTTAGAGGTGCGGTTTTCGTCTGCCATGCAGGCCCATGCAGACCCACGTCTGTTACGTCTGTATGGCATGTCGGAAATTGATTGACCAAAACCGCACCTTCAAGGTGCGGTTTGTATGGCAAAATCGAACCATGACGATGCGGTTTTGTTTGGGAGAAACAAACCGCACCTTTATGATGCGGTTTTAATAGGTCAGACCTAAAACCGCACCTTGGCCAAGCGGTTTCAGTAGGTCAGACCTAAAACCGCTTGGCCAAAATGCGATTTGAGTCCAGAAAATTGGAACGCACCTTACTAGTGCGATCTATTTGTAAAACGCACCCTTAGGGTGCGATTTATATATAAAACGCATCTACAAGGTGCGTTCTATTAAAAAGGGTGCTATTAGTGTAAATTTTTACGGATGGGTGCTATTTTTGTAATTATTTTTTTTAAAGGTGCTATTTCTGGAAAAATCCCGGGTAATGGCGTAATGCCAATTTTATCTTTCCTTGGTAAATTAAATTGGGGTAGCACCAAAAAGTTTTTATGGAGCCAAATATTTCAAGAGTGGGAAGGCGGGGAATAAATGCGGGGGAACGCCAAAAGTTTAAGTTGGAGACAAATATTTCAGGAGCCAAATTTTAGAATTGGGGAGGCGGGGAATAAATGCGGGAGAATAAGCACGAATGTTTTGTTTTGCAAAAGGAAAGGAGTCCACAATTCTGGAAAAAAATTAACCTAGATGTGGGGATTTTTTGGGGTCCGGATCAGGTTAGTAAACCTATCCTCAGTAACCGTGTGTAACCCCTTCCTCCATCCTCCACGTGTCTGCATCTGAGCCGTTCCCTTTTATTTAAATGAAACACAGAGGGGCAGTAGGGTAATTTACATCCACCCCTCATTTAAATGCTGACGACCTAACGCCTATTTTTGACCGAACGTGGACCCCACTCCCCGTCCCCCACACATTTCCCTCTGTCACTCTTTTATCTATTATTAAAAGAAAAATTAAATTATTTCTTCTCTCCCATCTACAACTAAAAGAGAGAAAAAAATTACATGCTCTCTGCACACTAACTCTATCTCTAAAACAAATATGAATTCAACAATCTCATCTCTCTCTACTCCAACTCCAACTCAAATTGAATGATGATTTTTTCATTTAATAATTCTCTGCCAAGAAGGGTAATTACAAGTATGAATATCACTATCACTTTCTACCTACCATGGTAAAACATGGCAAAAAATGCTAAAGAAAATTACAAATCTAATTACCATACAATACCATATGGTATAAATGCTAAAATAAAAATAGAAATCTAACTCCATACAATACCACATGGTATAACATGGTAAACCATGTTACAAAAAAATTATAAATCTAACTACATGGTAAATCGAATGACCATAAAATAATCATAATTACCATACAATACCACATGGTAAGAGAACGTAAAACCATTTAAAAACAAATATAAATATAATTACCATCATCTACGACCATAGTAAAACATGGTATATATGCATAAAAATACATTTAGTTACCACACATTACCATATGGTATAGTGTGGTAATCTCAATATATATCTAATTACGACTTTATTCACTTTCTTGTCCTCTTCATTGTCTTCTGACTCTTCTTTCCCGGAATTGGGGTCGATGACCACCTTCTTACCACCATGGTAAAACATGGTAACCATAAAATACGTTTAGTTACCACATATTACCATATGGTATAGTGTGGTAACCACAATAAACATTTAGTTACCACATAATACCACCATGGTAAAACGTGATAACCTTAAAAATACGTTTAGTTATCACACATTACCATATGGTATAGTGTGATAACCACAATAAACATCCAGTTACCACATAATACCACTATGGTATAATATGGTGACCACAATATACATCTAAGACATACTTCACATGCTCGTCTTCTGCCTCCTCTCATTTTCTCCTCCGCGTTTGAGAACACAAAAATACAAATGAGGAAGATTGGAATTGAAAATCCACAAAAGAATACTAAAGCATAAACACATGCAAACTCGACTCACCTAGATCTTTCCCCTCTTGATCGATATGGAGCTTCACCAAATTTGAGGTCGAGGACTTGACCAAAGAGAAGAAACATAATGAAAGAAGGAGATTTCACTTTTCCCTCATCCATTTCGGTGGGGAAAAAAGAAGAGAAGGAGGGAGCAGCTCGAGAGAAGAAGGATCTCGAAGAGAAGAAACGCAATGAAAGAAGGAGGCTGCACTTTTCTTTCGTCGATTGCTGAAGAAAAAAAGGAAGAACTGAAGAAGAGATCAGATTTGGAGAAGAAGAATATTGGGAGAGAGAAAGAAAAAGAAAAGAGGAAAGGAGAGTTTCAGAAAAAGAGGAAAGATTGCATTCTCTCTCCTCCATTCAAACCAGCTAATAAATGCTGGACAAAATAAAAAAAGAAAGAATACAAAATTAAAGCAACGAACAAAAATACCCCTGAGCATCTCCGCTCCATCCCGGCCACACGATGAATCCGTCCAAATCAACAGCTTCTAGATGGTTACTGATGGGTGAGTAACCAACTGTTACTCACCCTATCCTCAGCCGATTTTTTGGAGTCTTTTTGGTTTTGTGAGGGAGAAAAAATTGCGTTGATTTTAAAATTTTATTTTTAGAATGATAATTGATGAGGCCGTTGAAATTTATTACTTTGTGTTTCTAAATTCTTCCTTTCAATCCTTCTTTATTTTCACCTACATTTGCAAAGGTAAATTGTCACATTGTTTACGGTAATTTATCGTGATTAACAATTAATCACGGGAAACAAAATCTAAAAAAGAGGCAATTTAATTCCCGTGATTAGAACTGTAAAATCAAATACGAGAATTTTTCCCGTATTATTAGCATATCTCTAAGTACGGGAAAAATTCCCGTGAATAAGATACCGTGACTAGAAAGCAATTTTCCTGTAGTATGTTGTGGTAGTGTTTTTATGTTTTGGTATTGATTTCTTGTTTTTATTTCTATAATGGTATTGGTATTTTTTTTGACGTGATAGTGGTTGTTAAATGGATTGGTATTAAATTCTTGTTTTATTTTTATAGTGATATTAGTTCGGCTAATATAGACAAGAAAAAGATTGAGAAAAATAAGGAAGAGAGATCTGACGGGAGATTGCAAAAGTGAGAAAAGAGAGACAAAATTTTAATTAATATTTTTCTCCAAAATGTAATTTATTCAAAAAGATAATTAGTTTATATTTTTTCATACCCAATTTATCTTTAATAGCCATAGTGACTACTACTCCACATAATCACCGTAACCGCTCCTCATTTACCATGCTCACCAAAACCTGTGGTTTTAGTTTTGATTGCTAACCCTAAGTTTAGCGCTTCTTTCCTTAACAAAGTTCCTTTATTGATTTTCTTACTCAGTGTAACATTTAGTAGTCTGTAGAGATAAGAAAACATTATACTCATTTGCCGAGTGAGTATGAAGTTTCATGCAGTTATCAAGGAGTTTACAAACTTGATTTCGCGAACTCAGAGACAATGATTCCCTCTAGCCAATAGCCGGATTAATGATTGATTATTCTATAACTTATTTGACTCTTCATTCATATTGCGAAAAATCCTTAACTAACAAACCTTGAATCTAGATTAAAGTAGACAGTATCCTTTTGAATAGACTAATTAGAGGAACATTATCCTCATCTTCAACTAAGGTAGAATACCAAATCAATTCACATTTGACTTCTGTTATAAGATAAGTGATTCAGGTCTAAATGTACACTTTTTATCCTCGTTTCTCTCTGGTGTTTGTGGCATTGAGCTCCAAAAAGGATGGTTTTACGCTAGGTTTGCTGTGTTTCAGAGTCTAACAGGTGGAGCCAACCCCAGAGTTGAAAGTTGGAAGAAAAGGCGCGAGGACCGGACAAAGAGGAGGAAGCAGCGTTGTTCACGGTCCAAGCTGTGAGTTCACGGTCTCCAGGACCTTGAACTGGAACCACGAACCGCGAACTGAAGGGTGTCTAGAGAGGTTTCAGAGGTTACTAACGCCGAGTCAGTTAACGGTCGTAATACCGTGAATGAAGCCATGGACCGCGAACTCAACAAATGAAGCGGTGCATTTTGGGCTGTGTTCACGGTCCCAGCCAGATGTTCACGACCGTGAACTCTGACCATGAACTGCGCGCAGCCAGTGTATAAAAGGAGAGATGAAAGGAGGAAGAAGGGGGGGAGCCCAAAGTGAGAGAAACCTTCTTCTTGAAAACCTAGAGAGAGAAAGCCACAAACCAAGATGGAGAAGAGGCTAGGGTTTGCTCCAAGTCAAGATTTGGGAAGCTTCTCTTCAACGGAGGATCTCTACAAGCACAAGGAGGGTTTGAGGCATCACAATGATGGTTTCTTCCTTTTCCTTTGATTGGTCTTTCTCTCTCTAAAATCTGAAGAAGAATACTTTCTCACTCTTTGGGATCCCCATTCTCTCTTCCTTTCAGCTCTTCTTTCAAACAAGGATCGTGCTCAGTTCACGGCCTCAGTTCACAGCCGTGAACTTTGAAACGCGTCCGTGAACTCAAGATGGGCGTCGAAACGCACCGCTTCGCTTGCACGGGTTCACGAGCAACAGCTCCTCTTCACGGTCTTAGTGACCGTGAACTCGCCTAGCGTCAGTAACTTCTGGAAATGCTCTAGACGCCTCGACGTTCACGGGCAACGTCTCTTCTTCACAGTCTTACAAGATCGTGAACATCCAAGGAAAGCCTTGAACTGCCTTCTTTTCAAATCTTCTCCCGGTTTTCGCTCCTTTTCGTCGAACTTTCGACTCCGGGGTTGGTTTTACTTGTTAAATCCTGAAACATTCTAAATCACGAGAAACATAGCGTAAAACCACCCTTTTAGGAGCATAATTGCCATAAATGCCTAAGGAAAACGGGGGTAAAACATGTACAATTAGGCCCGAAACACTCATCCACACTTAGACGTTTGCTTGTCCCAAAGCAAACCATTTCACACAAGGTAATATTTCAACCTACACAAATAATTTGGGGACAACTCAAAGGGCACAAAGTGGGAATTCTTAATGGCTATTGGCAGTTAACACATGGACCGTTGCAAGCGATACCGACATCCACCACAAACAACATTCGAGGCCACCAAAAACGGGCAAACGAAAAGTTCTCACATTGTTCATGGATCAATGCAAGTCTCAACAAGACCACTTATCAACCAAAACTAATCATTCATGGAATTCAAGTCCAGGGAACAAATGGGAAGCCAACCAAGGTCCTCACCGGTGTATGATATGGCATGCAAAGCAAGAATGAATCACTCACTCTTAAGACCAGTGGGGTCGGGACCTTTTTGGTGCCAAAATATGTGCACAATCATTAACACTCATCCCTATCGTCTCAACACCGCGCCGACAACCTCTAAATGCTAGAGTTCACGGAATGGTTGTCATCACTAGCTTGTCCGGAGGTCTTAGACACGGGTTCAGATGGCTGATAATTGTCTAGGACATGGGGAAAAGGCTTTTTGGGTGGTGGAAATCATGAGGTGAGGTTCTACATCTTCAACCTAAACTCAAAGGTTCTATGGTTTCGAATAAAACCCTTCTCTTCAACCAAAGGCAACTAGCATTGGCCAAAAACTTTATCTCTCCCTTCCAAACTATCACCCATCATGAACTACATTAAAGCACTCTTCCTCGGTCTAATATTGCTATCACCTTTTGATTTGGTAGTGAAGGATTTCTAAAACAATGTGGTAGTCTCAATGGCTTGAGTGCCAAGAAACCCCTCCTAGAGCATACACTTTGGTTTTTCGTGGCACTCTCTACTTTATGTACCCCATTTTATTACCTCTTTTTAGTTTCTCTTTTCTTTTCTTTTCTTTCTTTTTCTTTTCTTTTTGAGGGGGGTACTAGAGAGTAAAAACTTTGCCACCTATACATTTAACGACCAATGCTCTCTTTTTGAAGAACTCACTCCAACACTACACTTCGTTTTTCATTCCTAGCAAGAACCGCACACAAACCTCCTATGTAGAACCTCAATGGAACTAGAAAGCGAGAGCTCCGGGACACAAGGACGACTCATTTTTAGACACGAAGAAAGGATTGGGGGTCGTTCTGTTAAAACCATTAAGCTCACAAGCAAGAAGCTCCTACTTTAAGAACTACCCTAGAAGTCACAAGGCTCAAAGGGGTTGACTAAGGGAGAACACATTTTGGGACAATCAACATTTGGGCGTGGACTAATCCTATGCCTCCATCATACTCACTAGTGACAACTGTGATGTTACATGCCATGGTAAGAGGGATCTAAGCACACAAGAAGAAAACGATCGACTCAAAGCTCACATGGCTACCTAGTCACCCAACCATCTATTCCAATTCACAAACACAATGCATGACAATTGTAATCAACAAGTAATCGAGTCAAGACATCCATTCATTTATGCATACATGAGAACTAAAATTTTTCACTATCCTAATGGACCTCTCAGTCACCATCATAGGATATACTCGATCGCATGCAACAATTCAATGTCAATGCCAATAAACACGAGATTTTCCCACACACTATCCACTTTGATTATGCAAACATTGCTTGGAGCCCTCAAAATTTTCAAATTTGGGCATACATCAAGGCTCCAAGCATCAATCACACTCACACAAGCATAATAGTAAACTAGACCCACACTTAAGCTCGAAATTGCCCTCAATGGCGTAAGAAAGGGGTAGAATGATGTTACCGCTTGGGCTTGGTGAGAAAGTTGGAACCGAACTAGGGTAGGATATTTGGAGCTTCAAGGAGAGACAAAAACACACACACACACACAAACACAATACGACTCGCTCGAGGCGAGGTTATTACAACCACAATATAATAGTAGTAGTAGGAGGACAAACTTGCTAACCTCCGTTGGTTGCCTCCCAACAAGCGCTTCTTTAACGTCTTAAGCTAGACAGAGTCTCTGGTCAGGCATCTTGCAGGAACACCACCTCCTTGTGCGGCATTACCTCTCCTCCAAGGTAACGTTTTCGGCGGTATCCATTCACTTTGAAAGTTCCTTCCTTTGGGCGGGAGATCTCAACCACCCCATATGTGAACACTTGTGTTACCACATAGGGGCCCGACCATTTTGACCTTAATTTTCCTGGGAACAATTTCAACCGGGAGTTGTACAAGAGAACCTCGTCTCCCGGCTAGAAATCCTTCCCTCCTTTCAGACGAGCATCGTGCAAGAGCTTTGTCTTTTCCTTGTATATCTTGGTGTTCTCATAGGCTTGGAGACGCCATTCCTCGAGTTCAAGCACCTGCAACTTTCGTTCATTGCCACACAAACTGGAGTCCATATTCAAAAGCCTTGTGGCCTAGAAAGCCTTATGCTCTAGCTCTACGGGCAAGTGGCACGTTTTGCCATACACCAAATGGTAAGGCGAGACGCCTATTGGGGTTTTGTAGGCCGTGCGGTACGCCCATAGAGCATCATCAATCTTTGCGGACCAATCCTTGCGGGATTGATCCACGGTCTTTTCTAGTATTTGTTTCAGCTCCCTGTTTGATAACTCGACTTGTCCACTAGTTTGGAGGTGATAGGCCATGGACACTCGGTGGATGACGCT